GCGAGTTTGTAGTGGTGGCGAATTGACCGAAATCAAACTGAAAATCTGAATACTTTTGCCACCAAAAAAATATTTCACTGATTTGGGTAGTCGGCACCGTTAAGCAAACAGAGACAACTAATCAAACGAGAACGCTTACCTGCTTGTAACTCTTTGAGGCTTCAACTATCTGGTGATCCAAGACTGATTAGTGCGGTTTAAATAACCATAACAAGGAACTGAGACTGTGCGTCATTTATCTGCTTCACGTGAACGGAAACTGATTTTGTGTAGGTTTCCTTCGGATGTTGTATTGTAAATTTATTTTTCCGTTTTTCATTTGTGGTTTGAATGAGTGCCATTAAGTTGAAAAAGATAAGGAGATCGAGTACAGCTACGCAAATGGTTCCGCGTTCTGCGACCGCAAATGAGTTTCCAATTGAACTGCAAACGACCCCTTCTAGACCATGGGTACAAACATACCAAAAAGACGTGTCTCGAGTGCAAGGCCCAAGATCAGTTATCGAACAGGGCTCTTAATGCCTTAACATTCCATACAATAGCACATACCTACAGATCACAGCCCTCATGGAATTTACTTTCACTGGCCGAAAGGAACAAGAAAAGAAAAGCTAAAAAGGTGCGTGCTTCAAGTTCACTTTACAAACCCGAAGCCCTTAACATAACGATGAAGAGGTTACTTTAAGGGAGATCTAAAGTAAAATATCGAAAAAGGAATAAAAATATCGAACAAGGAATAAAAACAACACGAAACAAAACCTTAACATTCCATACAATACAAATAATAATTTACTTTAAGGGAGATCTTTCGAGCAACTAAATATCGAACAAGGAATAAAAACAACACGAAAAAAACCTTAACATTCCATACAATACAAATAATATTTTACTTTAAGGAAGATCTTTCGAGCAACTAAATATCGAACAAGGAATAAAAACAACACGAAAAAAACCTTAACATTCCATACAATACAAATAATATTTTACTTTAAGGAAGATCTTTCGAGCAACTAAATATCGAACAAGGAATAAAAACAACACGAAAAAAACCTTAACATTCCATACAATACAAATAATATTTTACTTTAAGGAAGATCTTTCGAGCAACTAAATATCGAACAAGGAATAAAAACAACACGAAAAAACCTTCACATTCCATACAATACAAATAATATTTTACTTTAAGGGAGATCTTTCGAGCAACTAAATATCGAACAAGGATCGAATAAATACAACGCGAAGAAAACCGAGAGACGTTCCATTGTTCTCGTAAGAGTGCAATGTTTTATTTACTACTCCTCTTAGGAGTAGTAAACCTAGAGACGCCAGTAGTAAGCCAACGCGTGTTACAGAATCCTCATCTACACTAATTGATTTGATCTATGCAAATTATCCATATGCTGTTCCGATGTCTCCCATATTGCCATCAGCGATCATAGCCTCGTCTATGTTTACCGGAAAATATCTTCTGATTTACCATCTAAGGGACACTCTTCCATCTCTTACAGAAATTTTCGAAATTTTGATGGTGAAAATTTTCGAAATGAAATCTCTCAACAAGACTGGTCGTTCAATGAATCAGAAGATCCAAATATGGCATGGTCTAACTGGAAAAAACAACTTTGCGCGTTGTTAACTCTCATGCTCCTTTTCGAACTAAACTTCTAAATGGCAAAACACCCTAGATTGACTCAGCCTTGAAGAAAGGTATGCGCTGTCGCGATACTGCTAAAAGGAAAGCGATCAAAATAAAGAATCCTCAAGACTGGGGCAATTACAGAAAGCTCCGAAATCGAATCAACAATAAAGTGAAAACCACTAAGGCATCCTATTATCACAATAGTTTTATTCAATCCAAAAATCTATATATTATCTCTGCTAGGTTTATTCGTGAGTGTGCTGATATTATTTCAGGCCCGTTATGCGATCTATTTAATAAATCCCTGTGTCTGGTATATTTCCTGACGACTGGAAATGTGCCAGAGTGATTCCGTTGTTTAAACAGGGCGAGTCATCTGACTTAAACAACTAGCGACCTATCTCAGTCATTTCCGTAGTCGCCAAAGTGTTCGAGAGGATTGTGTACGATCAGTTATACAATTTCTTAAATAGTGAAGAAATCAGCTCTAAACAACAATCTGATTTCCGGTCTCTACACTCAACTGTTACTGCACTTCTAAAAGCCACCGTCTGACAGTTGGGCGTTTAATATCGATCGTGGCTACGTCAATGCCGTAGTGTTTCTCGACTTCAAAAAGGCATTCGACATGTACTGTTGATCATGAGATTTTACCAACTGAAATGAATCGGTGTGGAATTCAAGGTAAAACTCTTGATTGGTTTGAATCGTATTTGACAAATCGTACACAACGGTGCTCTGTTAACGGTTGTCTCTCTGACTTCACCACTCTTAAATGTGGTGTGCCACAGGGAACGATCCTTGGTCCTCTTTTATTTCTAATCATTTATATCAACGATTTGCCTAACTGTCTTTCGTTCAGCATACCTAGAATGAATGCTGATGACACCCACATTACTTATGCTGGTTCTGATTTGCATTTGACTCAGTCTAGTCTATCTCACGACCTTGAAAAGCTAAGCAAATGGCTTGTGTCTAACAGACTTACCTTGAACGCTACAAAAACTGAATATATGTTGATCGGCTCCAGGCAAAGATTAAGTACTCTATCTGATACACAAAACCGATTGACCAAGTTTCCTCTGTGAAATCACTTGGAATATAAATCGATGAAAATTTAACGTGGCATTCCCACACTGATAAACTGTGTAAAATGATTGCTTCTGCAATGGGAGTCATAAAGCGAGTTAAGCCATTTGTGCCTCAATCCACCCTACTCAATAAATACAACTCACTAGTTCAATCTCACTTTAATTACTGCAGCCTAGTCTGGGGTAACTGTAGCAAAACATTATCTAACAAGCTACAAAAACTACAAAACCGTGCTGCATGAGTAATAACTTCATCAAAATATGACGTAGATGTTTCTTTGTTTCACAAACTCATTTGGAAAGACTTGAAATCTGAAATTCAGAATGCCTTAATGGTTTTTTCAATTCTTTAAACGGGCTGGTTCTTAGGATTTTTAGGTTTTAGGATGTTAGTCACTGTATTAGAATTTATTGTACCTGATGAATTTTTTACCGTGTATAAATAAATAAGTAAATGAATACATAAATAAATAAATAAATAAATGGACAACTCGCTATAATGGCCTCGTTTCAACAAAGTAGGCAGTTAGACAACAACTGATGTACTGTGGAGGTAAGGCGAGGTATTTTTTATTGAAAATTTGACTGTATTTTTACATCCTGAGAGCAGTTGTTAACATTCCCATACAAACTCTTATATTTTTGCCATGACGCTCATTACGCAAGATGATCATCTTACATGCAGCTGGAGTTTGGGCCGCCTGTGGCAGCGTAATAACTTAATGACTATTACATTTGCGTTAGTGTAACAGGAAATCATGATTCTGATAAACGCAATAACACAATGACTTCACGGCTACCTTTGTGTCGGTACGTAGGGAACTCTAAGATAGCCGGTAACGCAATGACTTAACGGCTATATTTGCGTCGGTGTATAAGGAAACTCTAAGATAGCTGTTGTGCTGTTTGTGAGACAAACTACTACACGTGTTTTGCAAAGAACACCATCTTTTATTCTACCCCAGAATCCTCTTGTACGTACATGATTCATGTAAGCTAACACAACAGCAGCCAGTAACGCAATGACTTAACGGCTACCTTTGCGAGAGGGAAATTATAAGATAGCTAGTAACGCAACTTTTAATGGCTACCTTTGCGTCTATATATAAGGAAATTATAATATAAGTGGTGTCCAATGTAATCAAAAACAGCTTTGCCTAGCGTGGTATAGTTCGAAACTAACTGCGCAGTAAAACTTGAAATCGAGGAAACTTTCGACCGCCGAACACGGAGTATCTATGAATTGCGCGCCCGGAAGTTCGCAATAAGCCTCGAAGTCACAGATTTCGTTTTAAGTCAGTTTAAATAAACACAGAGCGCCGAGCTTAAGCTAGCCTGCAGTTCAGGCGTCTTATTAGGGCGGGCTAACGCTGCAAGCTCATGATCGTTTATCCGACCGGCCATGTTTGATTTGGAGTTAGAGTGGACGGTAAGGGTAGGAGGCGGGGGAGGGGTTCACTCCCTTACCCCCACCCCTCTCCATATTTTTACCGATGACCGCCCCCTTGGTAGAAATTTCTTTCTCTTCCAGGCCTTCCGCTGGCATTAAAATCAAAGATGGCGGCCATAATTTTTGTCAAGAAAATAACAATTTCGCCCGCTCTACAGGCTAAGCTTATGCAAAACTCGCAGTTCGGTGGAAATCGTGAAATGTCCAGCTATCTAAAAACGCATCTGATGGTGAACTGAAATTAGCAAATATTTTCGACTGCCGGACACCGGTCCGGCTGCCGCTGGACACAGCGAATTTTTTATGATACGACATTCAAGCTACCGTGTAATAAAAAATTTGTTCATTCGACAGTTGTGGGTTCATCGTGACGTGAAGCGGTTAAAAAGGTTTAGAGAGCACTCTAGAAGCTGCTCCTCGAGCGGATCTTACGCATCTTTTGTCTTCTACAACTGGGAACTGCACTAAGCACTTAATGACCGGTCCAAAGGAAGTCAAACCTCACCGTGCTGTTTCCTTTGGGGTCAGTCGTTAAGCGTTTTGCTACTCTTCAATTTAAATATCGAACAAACTTATCCTGATTGAAAACGTTTAGCTCCATGACTGCAAAAACAAAAAATATATACTTTCTTGACGCAGGCTGGCACTCAGATTTGCCGCACTGATCAAGCACGAGTCGAGAGTTCAATTTCAGTATTGTTTCTCGACGGATTTAGTAAATTTTTACAAATAGCATCGAAATAGCACGCGACTAGTTCTTCTCCAATCGACTACATCTTTGTTCAGTTGGTCTGCTAGAGAAATTGAGACAATCCACTCATCCAAAGAAATAAAACCGAATTTATCTCACTACATATTACAAGAGAAAACAAAATTAATTAAAAGGTCACAGAGGGCAGTTATAAACAATAATGGACTTGTCGTCAGAGACGGAGACAATCTTGGAGCCTGTGGCGTTATACTTCACTCCCCAAACCTACAGTAGAAAAATCAAATTATAATAAGGACTTGCAAACCAATTAAAATGTGAATATGAAAGTGGTCTTCGCAGTAATGAGCAGTACTTGAGCAGCAGTGATAATAAGCCTTGAAAAAATATTCTAGCCTGCTACATATTCAAACATGTTCAAATCCTGTTCTGGCCAGAATCTCTTTTTCAGGCCTTATTATCACTACTGCTCAAGTACTGTTCATTACTGCAAAGATCACTTTCATATTCACGTCTTCATCTGCAGTTCACATGTGTTATTTTCATATACACTCGATTGCAAAAACGTTGACACCTTGAAAGCATAAACTGTGAACGATGAGACCCAATGGTCCGAGTATGCTTTTTTTTCCAGCAATGTATTTTTTGTTGCAAAGAATAAGAATAGTAAATTATTGATTATCATGATGGAAATAAGGTTATTGTTTAAACATATTCATCGTTCACGGTTTATGCTTTCAAGGTGTCAACGTTTTTGCAATTGAGTGTATTCACATTTATCAACTGAAATGTCTTATCAAAAGATAATTTTAGCGCAATCTTGAAACTCCAGCAGAGAGAGAGAGGAAGGGTATAAAACAGTCATATAAGTAAAATGGATTCACCAGAGCACTATACTTCCCGAGCAAGTTCGTGATATAAAAATAATAGCTACCTGGCGCAAAAATATGCTAATACACTTGTCTGTGGACATCATCTACCAGATAATGCCAAAGGAAGACTGATTGGGATTCTTAACGAAACAGTAGACAAACGTTTATCATCTTGAACTGAACAATGAATGAAGACCCTTGTCCTGTTTTACATAAGGATTGAAAATTGGTAAAAATCACTAAAAAATAAAATCACCCGAAATTTGGTCTGGTGATGCTTTTAGATCAAGAGATTTATATTCTCTTGCTTTAGACCCAATACCACCTGAACAAAAATAATGTAATGGATGACAAATGGATGTGGTGTTTTGTGGGATTTTCATCAATAAGGACACTTCTTGTTGCTTATCACGTGGTATATGAGTCCCATAAACATTCAATCCTGGACAATTCCCCAGTATTTCAGACATGCCTTGGAACTCTTAACAAATAGAGCTTAATTTATAATACATGTGTATGCATTCAACTAAGTTGCCACAGCAGCACTAAAGGAAACTGATTATTCAATTCTACGATTACCTGGTCATTGTGTTCATAAAATGTCTGAATACACTGCCTTGAGCCTGCATCCCAAACTTTTACTGTCTTGTCACTGGAACTGAAATGCAACAGAAGAAAATAGTTGTTCCTTAACCCAGTTAAAAACACACAAATCTTTGCAAATTTTATAATAAATCTTATTTAGTTTAACACAATTGCCAGACAATCTCTTTCTCTTAAATAGACTCGATTTGTGGATTATTTTAATTACAATACAAAATGGTGAATACCTCGAGACAAAGTGTGTGTTGTCTGGACAAAATGAAACGCCAAGAACCCATGAGCCATGTCCTGACAGAGTCCCGGCTAAATTAGCATGTTGTCTGTAGAACGTGAAATTACCAAAACAAACAAACAGACAAAAAACAAAGAAAAGAGGACACAAAGAGTCATCCAGATCTAAGCATTGACATGTAAACGATGTAATCAAAATGACAATATCTTTTACAACCACCAACCAATCCTGCAATGAGTAGCTAAAGCATAATATTTTAAGGGTGCAACAAGTACATGCACATGCATGTATATGTACAAGTACAAGTACATGTACATGCATGTATATCTTCATCCCGCAGCTGAAATAAATCTGCAAAATCTTGCTCAGAAAGCAGAGCCTAGTATGGGAATCAGTAATAATTGACAAGGAAGAAGGAGTCTTGAATGGTACACATCATACATCTTGATATGATTGTCATCTGAAGCTGTGATCAACAGCTGGGAGTCAGGTGAAAATGTCAAAGATCTGATGGGCATGGCATGACCTGAAAGATTGATGAAAAAATGTGAAATCACTGCTGAAGTGGTTAGAGGACTATTAAGAAGAATTCATTTCAATTTCTAACCTTCTAGAGTGTGAAGTAATTTTCCAGTTGTTAGGTCGAAAATATTGATTATTCCATCAATGGCTCCACAAGCTATGTAGTGACCATCAGGACTCTGAAATTAAATATTGGAAAACAAATAATCAAAATATTTATGTCAGTAATAACAATTTCAATATAAGTAGCAGTGATAATAAAATGATGGTAATTATTATTACTATTATCATCATTATTATCATTTATTTATTGTTCATAGTAGTATCATTATTTACTATTATAATATTAGTTTGCAAAATCATTACTATGTTATAGTAGGCTAATATATCCACTGGAATGTCCACTAGCATTCCAGGAACTACAGTTTTAAAGAACACTTCTTGCTTACAGGCAGACTGGGAAATAATGTATTGGAATAACTAATTAGACAGAAAACTTAATAGGCAAAGTTTTGGAATAGACTAGATATAGATTTGAGCACACAAAGCACAATTTTAATAGAATCTGTATGACTAACATACATAAGCTATGCTCATGGTGAATTTTCCTCTTGTATCCAGGGCACTTTCTTTTTTACCACTTTCCACACCTATCAAGTTTATTTTTCCAGCATGGCTACCAGTTGCTATAAGTTTAGAGTCTGGAGAAAATGCCACTGTCCATGTGTCCACTGTGAAGGAAAAAATAACAATAAATCTTATCCTTTAATTTGTTATTGATTGCAGAAAGGAAAAATTCCCTATTGAGTTGTGATTGATTGAAATTAATTTCATTAACTTCTCTCTGGAAATGGTTTTTTATCAAAAATTTGTGCTGCCCTCATGACCAATCAAATGTAAACTATCAACCAATTGTGCCTTTGTGCAATATGCTTGTTTTCTTTTCAACCTCTCCAAGGTGCCTTGCAATGTCCTTTTTCATTCCTATGGGCCATTACTAGTTTATGATCACTTGTGTTGTGGTTTTGGTTAAATTAAAACACTCAAACTAAACCTCTGTATGAAAGACTGATAGCTCATAAAATATAATTTTCACTATGATGAAATACACAATGATTTACTCACAAAATACTGTTTTTTGACCAAAAACACAAGTTATTTGACCTTGGGTTCCAACCTTCTCACTTCAAAATATTTGAAATACTTCCTAAATCAGTAACAGAAAATTTATCAAGCGCAATTGGCTTAAGCTTAAACTGATAGCCAAGCTCTTTTACCTATTACCCCTTATACATCCACCAATTATATAGCAAGTCTTATCTCACTTAACTAATGTGGCAGCAAAGTAGGAGGGATTATCAGTCATTCTCTCTATTACATAAAGTCTGACTAAGCGTGTAATTTGAAGACATGACCATCATGTACAGAACTTAAAGTTAACATAAAGAAGGTTGCAGCATTGTACCTGGACCACAATCAATGGCTTTCAGTTGTTTCCCAGATTCTAAATCCCATATTCTGATATGACTGTCTAATGAACTTGATGCAGCAACTATCAGTTGGTACTCTCGTCAAGGATTTGTCAATTTCAGCAGTCTATCAATCAGCTCTTAGACATGCTCTTAGACATTTTAGCATGGCAAAATCCTCAGTCATTTAGAGAATAACATACATGCAAAAAACTCTACAGTACTACAGAAAGAGGCCTTTCAGGGCATTGACCTCTAAAAATGACTAGCATCTAATGCCTCCTTACAAAATCACCCCTCAATCAAACTCGAAGGTCACAAGAATAAAGGCAATGATCACCAACTCAAGAGGCTCTTGATTGTTAAACAAATTCTTCTTATCAGCACCTTTGGAAATGTATAGAAAACAGTATGGAGAATATGTATTAACCCTTTCACTCTCAAGATCTAATTAGTAATTCTCCTTACTATCTGCCATACAATTCTTATGATGTTAGTTCAGAGAATTTGGTATTGGATCACCTAATAATCCCATAATTGATATCCTTCTCTATTCTCATCACCTGCCTGCTTGATATTGTATTGATATTGTAAGGAGAAATTCTGTCTTGGTCACTTGTGGGAGTGAAAGGGTTAAGATGTCATGGTATAAAGGGTTAAGGTATCCAAGCAGGGGATTTTTACCCTTTGGAGTAAGAGTGCACTAAGAAGTGCATTGAATGACAGACAAGTGGTAAACAAAAAGATTGCTTGATTTCCACTTCTTAAGGTTGCAGGCCCCACCTATTATGTACCCAGTAATTGATATCAGATTCTACCTTCCAAGTAGAAAGAGCTTACAGATCACATGATAAGAAACAAAAACTTGTGAGAATACTAATATATGTTCCAAGTTTTAAACCTCAGTTCACTGATGAGTTGATTTGACTCAATAAATGGCTAATAATAAATATTATAATAAATAATAATAATTACCACTATTTTCTATTGAGATGAAAAATCCTAAAACCTTCCTTAGAATATCAAGACACAAGGTTGTTATTTACATAAGTTGAAGCTACTGTAGTATTGATTTAGGATACTTGTCCCAGTTAAATTAATATCCACTGACACCACACCAAGTTGATGACCTTCAAAATTAAATCTAGGTTCCAGCTTTTCTTCATTCCTAAAAACACAATTTAACATCAGTATTATCAGTGTCAAACAATTGGTACCTTTACTGCTGCATGATAATTTTAAAGATGCTGAGTTGATTTACTTGGTAAACAGAACAAATTCATTTCATATCAAGGTCAGTTTTAGACCTTTGAAAAATATCACAAGCAATGCAATCGGATTAATTTATCAACTGCTTGAGTGTTTCTGATGAGATCAGAGATGTCAACAGTATCATTTTTGTCTTAAACTAAAGCAATTTTACCTATGAGAAAAATGTTATAGTCATGTAATTACATTAATTCTGATAAAAAATCTTACAATTCTGGAGGGTAAAATGGACCAAAAAAATTAAACAATCATTATTGTTGACTAAAGACCTAAATTAGAAAAAAAAAAGGTTTAGCTCTGAACAGGTTAAATGAAGACACATTCAATGAACATTTCCTTACCATCTCCAGCATTTTACCATATCATCAACAGCACCACTTATAATATTCTCTATTCCATCTTTATCACTAGTTCCCCATGCAACTGTCCAGATACTGTCCTCATGAGCTAGAGAAAAATAAATTCCATGTTACACATTACATGAGTCTACTCTGAGGGTGCTAAACAAAAACTGGATTCTGTTATTAACCAGAACTGTCAAGTCACATCAGACAAATATTTTCTACTAAAATCTTATCCATTAAATCCTTAGAAATTTTTAAAAAAGATTATAGAAAACTCATGAACAACACCCCATCATTGTAAAATTGACCAAGATAAATGTAACAAAAGATGTTTTCACCAAAACAATATCTAATAAAATTTTACCCATTAAATCATAAGGAATTGTTTAAAAGATTATGGAAACTCTTTGAAAACACCTATTCATTGTAAAATTGACCATGACAAGTGCAGCAAAGGATATGTTTACCAGCTAAAGTACAAAATAGGTTCATGATTAATATGAAAAGTACAGGAGGCAGCCACAGACAGATAACACTAAAATATGTTTCCTTTCATGTCTATTTAAGATTGCTGATAAAATTTGATAAGATCACAACAAGGTCCAAAGCAGGAGTTATAAGTATATAACTGATGCAACAGGAAACCACAGGCACATACACCTTTAAATATTTTGATTTCAATTTAAGAAAAAGGCATAATTCTGTAAATATTAAGGGTATTGGAGTAGAATTGTAGTCAAAATATTACTTAAATAACTCTTACTTTTCCAATTCTCTCTTTATTTTAAAGAAATTTTAACATACTATAACATAATACTACTCAGGAATGAATACCTTGCTCTTGCTTGTAGCAGACACTGTATTGAGACTAGACAAAGAAAAGAACGGTGTCATGGATGAGGAAGTCTCTCAAATCAGCGTACATGAAACGTTCCAAGTTAACAATGCAGGTTAAACAGTACTCCGAAACATGCAAAAACTTTGGCTCTGTCATAATTATATTACCTTTCAAAATTTGCATCAGCACCTCACCTCTTTAATTCATGAACATGATAAAAGTTATATATATATATATATGTAATTATAAGTCAACAAAGTTTTTACGCTCATTAAAATCGAAATCAAATTGATTGTACATCTAGAATATAAGCATCAAATTTACATGTATTTCAGGAAAAACTTCATAAATGCAACAGATACATGCAAAATTGAACGTCAAACAAATCTAGGAGTATTTTACCCACCATGGTTTAAAGAAGACGGGAAATTTCAAGAGGAAATCGCGTCCGTCTATCAGGCAGCCATCTTGAATCGGCTCAGGCCAGCGTTTACTGCTGCTAGGCACGCTCTGTGAATACATGCGCAGTGTAGCGCTGTCTCACAATCTACAAAGATGTCGTTTGCCGGCAGAACTTTGACTGTGCTTGGCCGATCTGCCATCCGTACGCGCTGTACGGCTTTACAGCGTTACCGTGGAGACTTTTCGAATGCACCAGGAGATGTGAGTATGCCATAATTGTAATTATAATGTAGCCTCTTGTGAGTAATTTGATTCGTTTTCCCATCATTGAACTACAAAATTTCGACGGATGTGTAAATCGAGCTTATATTGTGATCAACGTTGATATAGTTGTAACAGTGGTGCTATTCATAACAGTCTTCTTCCAAATTTTAGTTTTTGTGGTTCATACGTTTTGTAAGTTGTTTTACACCCAGACGCCACTTCTTCTTAACGCCGGATTCTTGCGTGAAATCCTGATATTTTAGCTTTTCAATTGATATTTACTGAAGCTGATCTGGGTTGAAGATCAGTCGATGTTACCGACGATTAACCAAGCGCTACGGAGGTTTTCTTCGTAATGACTTTGAACCGATTTAAGTCATATCATATCGGAGTGATTGACTCAATTGTGTTCCCAAAGGAATGAAATAAATGAGAGACGCACTGATATATTCACCTGCACAGTTAATTAACCCTTTAACTCTCAGATTAAATTTGTAATCTCCTTACCCTCAACCATACAATTCTTGTAATGTTAGTTCAGAGAATTTAGTATTGGATCAACTTATTATTCCCAAATTGATATTTTTCTTTATTCTCATCCCTTATCTGGTTGATATTGTATTGATATCGTCAGGAGAAATTTTGTCTTGGTCACTCATGGGAGTTAAAGGGTTAACTACTCTAGGGTTTTCACTTGTAAGAATATGATAGTGGAGTCAGATCATCTAGGTGAGTGTAGTTTAGTTGTGATGTTGTTGGTAGTAGATATGATCATTTGGTAAAGTTAGGTTATTCTGTTCAACTTGTTTGTGATGTCAGTGTTGCGAATAAGTTGTTTGTGTAGTGTCATTTATAGTTGACACCTGTTGAAGGGAGTCTGTTGTAAGTTAGTAAACCAGTTTTCAAGAGTCCATCGCTCAAAGTAAATAGTGGTGTAGGATAGCACCACCAAACTATAACCCATACTAATGACTGAGTACTTGTATTGTGATATGCAGTTTGTCATTATTCATGTTTCTAGAATATGCCTTTCCAAGTAAAGAACAAGCCTAGGCTTCTGGCAACCATGATCCTCTATCTAGGAACATGCTTTACTCTTCCTTTCATCTGTGTGAGATTCCAAATGGCGAAGCAGAAAGGTGATTGATGTTCAAGAACAAGGCAAAGACCTGGAATGGAGTGAACATCTGTTGGCATTATTAAATGTGAACCTTTCCTCTTAATATATGGTTTTTTTCAATGTTGTAATATTGTAACCTAGTAATGTCTAAACTCATAATTGTTTGCTGATTAGTGGTTTATACTGGTTTTATGCTTCATTAAGTATCATTTAAAAGATGTAACTTGAATTGAATAAACAGGCTACTTTGGAGTTTATATGTTTGTGAACAATATTTTCTAGCCTTTGAAAGTAATACTGTGCAGTGGGGACATTTAGACACAAGTTCGAAAACAGGCTGTTCCATCTATTTCTTACACAAAATGGGGGTTTATTTTCTCCTTCTATATAAAATTAAAAAAAATACATTTATAGCCATAAAATGTGACTTATTCACCTTGAAGAAATCAGTGAATTACACCCTTATGTTGAGCATTGAGTATTCCCTAGTGGGTGCCAAGATTATCATCTCTTTAAAAAAAAGGCCATAGCCATGTTTTTTGGCATGTTTTACAAAGAACTAATACTTGTACCAGCTTCCTTTACCAAGAACACACTTTTAATATTAACACACTCATGTTTACAGCATCAAATAAATCTTGTGGCAAGAGCCAGCACTTTTGACAATTTTTCTTGTCTCTTTCTTAAAATTGTTGGAATTGGTGCTTTTACTCGTGTTCCAAGGGGGGCAAGGTTGTCATCCACAAGTACAATACAGTTGTTGTCATATCTTGGAATTGTGTGATGCTTTGTTTTCCTTGTGCCAATGACAACTGCTTTATTGGTCTTTCCAGCCACAGCAACTCTTATCACATCCCCAGGGTCAGCAGTCTTCCTTTTTCTATAAAATCCTATTAAGTAAGGTTTGCGATTCTTCTTCACACTTTTCCCAAGAGTACTATTATCAACAACTTTGAATGTGGTAAGTAAGGTAATATTTCTTTTCTGAATTGAGCCAAGAAGGAATGGTGACGGAGTAACTGAGTTGCATCCTGACAACAGATTTGTTCCTGAAAGTTGACATATAAACAATACATAACTGTCAATGAAAGTTAAAAAATCACAACATGACTTTTCTACTCTTGTTAGGTCTACATATGGTTATCTTAGAAACTCAGGGCTCAGGTCTTCCCTCTCAAGTGCATGTTGTCTATGGAATAATCTAGGTAACTCATACAGAAACATAATTTTCCACTCAAATTTCAGAAAAATGCTACAGAATGATTTTATCAAAGAAAACTCTTCACTGGAATATTTTAAGATTAGTAAGACTTTTTGATTTTTATAATAAATTTTAATAATTTAGTTAGAAGTGTAATAATTGGTAGAATTAGTATGATTCTTGTATGTGATATGTTTTTGTTTTTGTGTTCTGTTTTTGCTGGGGCCATTATGAAAATTACCAGGCTACTGGTAATAATGTATTTCACCCTCAATAAATAAAGTATTTGTTTATTTGTTTGTTTGTCTGGGGAGTGTTGCTGGAGTGGTACAAAATACTGTACTAAAGGTCAAGATATGAGAGAACACCAGAAAACCACAAACCATATGTCCCTAATGCTAGCAGTCTCATTAATCTTTGTCTTTGTGGGCTCTTTTTTCCCCCAGAGCACCAGTAACATCAATTTGTAACAAAATACCCACAGCTTGATATTATGAATTTCATGGTTACAGTTTAATTATAGCAGGAAAATTGAGTTGAGGTTTCTCTACTCTAGTAAAAAAATCTGTACCTACCAAGCAAGTGTGTATTCCAAATTTGTTTTGTTTGAGCAAACAGTGGAGATGAGCCTTGGAAAAACTGTTAAATTGTGGAGTAGAAAAGGTCAGGCCACATTTCAATATATAATTATGTCTAAGGAACAATGTGCTCCTTAAGTTTTGTAGACTAACAGATACAAGCAGAAAAACATTTGAAAGTTTCATCTAATATGGAAAGATGCAATGCAATATTGCCCACCTTAAAACATTTTTTCCAATGGCTAACTTGGTAAAATTTCCTCACAGCCCCATACTACATTATGCATTCAGTTCTTGGATAGAGAAAACAATGACAAAAACAATACATCACCACTGGGAAAACAGATTTGTTTTACAATAGTATGGGGCTGTGCGGAAATTTTATCCAGATTACGATTTCACATGTTAAGAAAAGAGAGAGAGAAAGAACAATAGCCATTCATGATCATAGCAATGAAAAATTTCTCTATCAATCGTTCCGACGTTTAGAATAACAAATGTTCTCACCAGAGACTTCAGCTGCCCGTTTGAGGAAATGGTTTTAGAGGTAAATTTAAAGAACGCTGCCATGTTGCCTGTTGGCGTTAGCGTGGGTTACAGGAAACTGGGACTTGCTCTCGAGTTTTCGAGTTTGGAGTAAATTGTTATGTATGCTACATTTTGCGTCCTAACTTGAAATGTTTTAAAATCAATTCTTGTCACAGCTTATGAAGGATTCTGAAAAATGTGAAGAAATACTCACGCATAATAAGTTATATTCAAGTCAGTTTTTATTCACTTGGAAAGAGGACTATGCCTTTCGTAGTTATCCAGACTAAAATGAGTTTCCACACCGTGGACGTTACATGTAGGATACATGATAAGTTAATGGAACCTAGTCCTTTACGACCTTCCAAGGAAATCCGTGCATGTTCCAAAGTAATTTATGGACTTCGTCGCTGGATTTCAAGCCTTTCGTTTGTTAACATTGTACTAAATGCATAAAAATATGGAAAATGGCTTGAACTTAAATTCTTCAAACTGTGGTCAAAAGGAGACGAGACAAGGTCTGAACGCCTCGCCAATGGATATGAACAGCCTGCCTCAAGTTGTGCTCTTGAGTATCATGTCGTATTTAGATGTGAAAGATTTGGGCCGAGCTTCTTGTGTTTGTAAGCGTTGGTATAATTCAACTCTTGATCCAAGCCTTTGGAGAATACTGAAGCTCCCGAAAAGGCAAAAGGTGGACGATGAAGTTCTTGTTCGATTAACAAACTATGGATCGACTGCTACTGTTTTAGATGTTTCAGAATGTGCTAACATCTCTGAAGAGGGTTTGATCAAGGCTCTGCAACAGTGTCGGTATTTAGTCGAATTATCTGTTGTAAGATGCTCGGCTGTGACTGATAAATGCCTCACTGAAATTGGACAGAGTTGTCAGAACATTAAGTTTTTGGACATAAGCTTGTGTCGTGTGACAGACTGTGGAGTCAAAGAGGTGAGTTTAATTTCACATTTTGCGCACAAATTATTTCTCTTTGTTCATTGACCCCAGTTAAATGCAATTTTAGGAGTTCAAAGTTTTATTACATTCCGGTTATTACTGTTTTTATTTTTTCAGCTTTGTCAAGGTTGTGTCAAATTAGAGAAACTCACTATGGACCAGTGCCGCTCCCTTACTTGTGAAAGCCTTTTTGCAGTTGCACAAAATTGTCCAAAAATTAAAAGCATTTCTGTAGAGTACAACAGTAAATGTGAAGATGCTGGGGTCTGTGAACTTGTGCAAAGATGTCCACTGCTTGAAAGACTTCATCTTAACTCCTGTACAATTACTTCGAAGACAGCACTCCACATTTCACAATACTGTAGGAATATGTCTGTTTTGGATCTCCGTTGTTTTTCAAGTCTCACTGATGATGTGGTGAAGGAAGTAGTGTTTGGTTGCAAATATCTTAAAGTCCTAAACTTAAGTCTGTGCACTAATGTGACAGATTCATCTTTAGAGTATATTCTTTCAAATTGTGCTTCTTTAAGAGGATTGTACCTGGTGCACTGTGAAATTACTGATGATGGTGAGTAGTTTAACCCTTTACACCCCAACATCAGTATGCATATTCTCCATACCATTTACTATACATTTCCTTAGCACTGAAAAGGAGAATTTGTTCAACAATCAAGAGCATCTTAACTTGGTGATCATTTAATTTATTCTTGTAACCTTAATACGTGATTTAGGGGTGATATTGTAAGGAGAAATAGCAGTAACAAATAATTGTCAAATTTTGTAGATGAAAATGTAATCCCTGACACTTGTTTGAAATTACATATTAAGTTTCATGTTTTAAATAAGTACAGCTGTAACATTGTACGTGGTGTGACAGTTTCAAAGAAACACATTTTTTGCAGTGAGACTTTAAAAGGGAAGACCACACAGGAATGACAAACCTTCAGACCCAGGATGTATCCTGCCACAGTAACTATTTGGTCACATCAATTATTCACCAAGCTTGTTTGTAATTCTATCATTTAGGATTGAAGGCCTTCACTTATCACACTTGTAACCTGGAGAGATTGGACATAAGTTGGTGCAAAAAGATTACAGATGAAGGAGTCAAAACTGTCTTAAAAGGATGTCCTCACCTTAAACATTTAGGTGTGTAACACTACCAATGCCTGGTAAAGTTTCCTCTTTAGTCTAGAAGTCTGCAAGTGCCATTGAAGTTTTGACTCATGTTGATGGACATCAAGAGTATTTGGCAAGATTTTCCAGAAATGTTTTTTGCATGGGTTTGACAGACTCTGGAGCTATAAAGGGTAACCTGTTTTGAAGCATAATTGTTCCGTCTTTATAAGAGAAAACTTGTCGACTGCATTTTGTATATTATGGCCTTGCAAATATCTGTAAGAGACAATGTAGCAGTTGGAACAAGAAACAGTTAATGCACTCTTGTCCATTATGTTACTTGGGCTTTTTTTTTAATTTTTTCTTTATAAAGTCATTCAATAGGATAATTTTCAAAACTGATATCTGTCAGGCAACGATAAGGATCTCTGTATGTGGGATGTAAAGAAGGAAGGCTACCTTATATTATAATTGCAGTTGTGAGTAGTTTGTTAAATGGCAGTGTGGGAGTTCGACATTACTTACATTGTTGATTTTTGTGTTTGCATGATTGTTTTAGGACTTGTCAGATGTGATCAAGTCAATGAGAAGACAGTTCTACAACTGAATCAACACTATCCTCATGTCTTCCTCAGCACTGTTACAACAGAGATGAAGCTCATGTGTGAGAAAGCTGGCTTCCCAGACCTTTGTAAACAATGAAAACTTTTGCAGTAAGGCTTTTTAACATAAGGTTGAACACTCACTGGAAGGAAAGATTTAGAATGATCTGTTTTCTCTCAGATAGAGATGACCTATGTCTTTCTCAATGCAGTAAAAAGACTGAAAGCCATGTTTGGGGCAAGCATGAATGGCAAGGTATACATACAACAAATTTATTGAATCCAGGAAAATTCTCCAAGTCACACAAGGGGACTTTTTGCATTGACTCATCATCATGACCCATCAGAAAACAAAACATAATCTATGAACTCTCCTAAGGATAAGAAAAAGAGACATGACTTCTCTAAAAACACACTTTAAAAAATGATAGCCCCCATTCCCAAACAACAGGCATACACATTCAACCTTAAATACTTATAGTAATAAAAAATCACACAATCTACATATATGAGTAATAGAAACTAATGCGAGCTAATGTAATTATTAAGTATTTGTAAGTCTGTATCACTAGATTTATTATAAAGGAAAGTCCTAAGACAGCAAATCCAATGAGAAGCATTTATTTAAGTTGCCCCACTAATCTTGTTTTGGTAGACTGTGACTGTTCCCCACATTAGCTTTAAACTGTGATAGATGAACTCTAAGGGCTGATTATTTAGTAATACAGGAAGTTTAACCCAAAGCATAGTTTCTTGTAAGCGATGGGCCTCAGGTATTGTCCATAAGACGATTGATTTAATTAAATATATGTTACTTCCACTGTCAGCTTTTGGCCCTCTTGACACTCTTCACAATACGAATGATCAGATAAAAAGGTTTGACTAAATTGAAGATCATTTAGAGTATGGTTTTGTTAAACAAAAGCTGAACTTTATTTAAATAACCTGCCATTAGGGTTTCTGAGGCTGGCAATCATATACCATTCATGCAGGGAGTACTGACTGCTTTTGTTAAAAGTAAAATAAGATAGCCCCTCCTCTTTGTGAGAAGATTTCCTGATTAACTCTTTTTGGTGTTGTTGTAAATCAAGAATTCTTGCTTTTATAAATATATATATTAATTTACTTAGTTGTATAATTCTTAATTTTTATCCACTGACATTGTACACAGTTTTTACATTTTTCTGATGGTTCATCTGTTTAAATAGTTTTTTTTTCTTCAATTGTTAATTTTATAGTTGTCCGGGGCACCCATTTATATCAGCTTCAGCTGATGGGTTTACCTTGGTTAAATGTGTTATGTTATAAGTGCTATTTTATTATTATTATTATTATTATTATTATTTTTGTTATTATTATATCTTATTTACTATTATTATAATTATTTTCTTGTTATTCAGAATCTTTGTAGCAATGAGATCCAATAGTGTTTAAAACACTTGAAAAGTTTGCAGATAAAGAAAATAAATACATTATGGTATTGTATGCTGTTAATAATTTATCAACATTTTGGAAAATAATTCCCATAATTCTTGCTGTTCCAGGGAATGAAATTTTATGATCATTAACAACTTGAATAATATAATTTTTGTTAGCTTGTATTGCACTAAAAATTTCCTGTACGAATCAAGATAAAACAAACTCATTTAGGGTTTCAAATGACTCAGTAAACTGCAAATGCAAGGTCTTGACAGTGTAGACTTTAAGTAGAATGCAAATGTAACTCTGCTTTCAGGACAGCATTTGATATGTCTAGGTGTACAGCCTAGTGACACTTGATTTGGAACATTTCAATGTGCAAGTGTGTAGACCTGCATGTGAAACAACTGTCTTTAAAATTTTAAGAAATGAAGTAGTTTGCCAAACCTGGAAAAAAAATTGAAAACTTCGGGAGGAAGCTTGTAACTTGGAACCTAGAGGCGACGAGTGCTTAGTTGGTGAGAGTGATAAATTTCATCAAGGATTTCTCAGGAATGACCTTGGGTAGGAGGGCATAAAGAAGTAATCCCCCATGACTAAAGTGCCACCTTGAACACTGTTGGAGCGGTTAGGCAGCTTGCGTTGAACACCTCCCCCCAGATAACCTCAGTCTTTTTACCTAGACCCCTTGTGATTCTGTAAAGACATGGGTTAGGAGCCACAAAATGTAAGCTACTGGTTTCCTTAGATGGGAGGTGGGGATTGGAGGAAGGGGTTTGCAAAGAGCCAGCCTCTCTGTGATGTTAACCAGCTCAACATCTGCCCACAACGGTCTTGCGGATTTCACGTCAGAGACAAAAATCACTGCCATAGGAGAAGTTGATATGATGATTTGGGCCTCATCTGATGTGAAATGGATTGAAATTCACTCAATTTGGCTCCTGTCATTTACTGCTGCATTCAATGTGTCAAAAACCGAGAAACAAAAAACTATAGCGCTTTCCTATGTCGAATTCGTTGCGTGCTTGCGTTTAGATCTTATGCATTTGTTGAAAGTGCAAACTAAGTATATGTGGGTATCCTTGACCTTCTTCGTTGGAAAGCACCCCAACCCACCCCACCCACCCCTGAATGACAAAAGTCCACGCGTTTGTAGTGTAAGCTTGAGCAAGTCGTCCGTCGGACTGCTAAGTTCTAAAAAAGAATGGACAGCCTTCAATAAAAACATTTTATTTATTGTATAATTTTCACAAATACGTAAGCAAAAGAAATAACTGAAATAAATAAAGAATAATGTCGGCTCCCTTTGGCCGATTATTGTAAACGCTTAGATTGTTTGAATCGTTAAATAACAAGAAGTCGTAAAGAAGATGGCAGAGATAATTTCGCTTTTGTAGATTTAAAATCTTTCCGTGACTACAGGAGTTATGGTGAATTCCACGAGGCGTACTTCACTGATTAAACCACGATTTCAAACTGGCTAATTTTGCTTTCGAAATGTGTCAGTTAATTGAAGCCGTTTCGCGTGAAACCTGCCAGACACACCGGAGCTGTGTAACAGATTTCCTCTTCGGTCTGTACTGTAAGTTATGCAACCTTACCTCCCCTCCCCTCCCCTTTTATTTTATGGGCCGGTTGCTTCGCCCTTAGGTCATAAACCTGACGGAAAAAAAACTCTATCTGTAACTTACCCTACGGACCTTGAACTCAGTTAGTAACAGGTATTTATGTTTTCTCTAATTGTTCCTTAATTGTAACTTTAATCGTTAATCACTTGCAACATTGACTGAAGCGTTTACGGTGCATTATTTGGCCATGAAAAAAATATATTCCTTTGATCCTTTGCTGCTAATAAGTTATTTTTAATGTCTTTACCACCAGGTAAGTCAAGAAACAAACCTATTTCTATTTATATCGGAAAGTACTCATCAAATAAATATTAAATTGTCCAAATTACCACGTTGTAGACACGAAGTGCCTACCATGATGATTATAAATTATCATTTAATACTATTTGTAATAATATATGAATAAATTCAATAAATAAACCTTTTTTTGCATTTAATTAACATTAAGCATCGTCTAACTTTATTTTCTTAAGCTTCACATTACTCTTGATCATGACAAAGATTGTTACCATGGAAAAGTTACTACGTAGACCTTATACTATGACTATAAACCGCCTAAAATGGTTAATATGGGAGTAATAAAAACTATCAGTGTTTCACAGAGCTTCCAACCGTATTCCCCCATGGTTTTCCAACGACGTTCGTTTTTAAAAAGTCACACCTCTCCTTCAAAAAGTATCTTACTCACTGCCCTACTGCCCGTATAATACAACAGATCGAACCAATCAGGACGCACTTAAATTCCTAAATAAACCAATCAGAGCTCCATGTGAAACAGTGCGGTTTGCAACTGTTAGGAACGGCGGGAAAGGTCATGAACACAGAATTGCATGTCCCGGCTTATTCAGAAATGTGAGCAACAAGAGGTAGAGCGAAAAAATGAGGTTCGAGACGAATTAATATATCTAACCAGTAAATAAAAATCGTCAAAGTTACCAGCGTCGTGCCTGTGGTATGATCGCTAAGGTATGAGTAACCCTAAAAAGAATTGTTGTCGATTATATTGTTGCTAAAAACTACATTTTTCAGCCTACTCCTACTTGAAAAGTTACACCACAAAATAGACCGATACTCCTGGATTCAAACCATTTGCGGTATTACTTTAAACTGTCAGCACCAATTTTTTTCTGCTGGCCAAGTTCCATGACTGAAATTCTGAAGACGATTTAACTCATACGGAGGATTCTTTCAATCGCTGCCCAGCGCATCCAACCCGTCTTCTCGCTGAATAATAGGTAGGATTCAAAATAACATCTCCCAGACCGTAATGAAGATCTCTTATGGCTATCTTGAGCTGCGACTGAAATAGAAAATTAATAAATAAATCAGGGACAGTCAACATTTATCGTCTGGTGTGTGTGTGGAGGCGAATGGTTTTCAGGGAAACGGATGGGGGATCAGTCGTCGCAGAGTATAAAAGGGGAGAACTTAAGAAAATTGACTACCAATAAGGGGGGATCATTAGTTGTAGATAGATAGATAGATAGTTTAATCTCAAATGCATTTGCAGCCCGAGGGCTGAATTACACATTTTTACAATCCAAGAAATTTAAAATTTAAAATTCAAAAACCTGTGCAATTTACAATATAATGTGTGCCGTAACAAAAATAAAGGATATCGTATCGATAAAAATCTAGCCATTAAACCTCCTTGCCATAGCAAGTATAAAAGGGGGGGTGTGGTGTCTAAGATACCTTTAAAAAGCTTCTGACAGAGGCTCATTCTTCGAAGGGGGTAATCATATGGTTTTCAGGGAAACGGATGGGGGATCAGTCGTCGCAGAGTATAAAAGGGGAGAACTTAAGAAAATTGACTACCAATAAGGGGGGATCATTAGTTGTACTACAAAGTCTTATAGGGGGATCAGGCAAATTTTTACTACAAAGCCTTAAAGTTGGGATCAGGCAAATTTTTACTACAAAGCCTTAAAGTTGGGATCAGGCAAATTTTTACTGCAAAGCCTTATAGGGGAATCAGGCAAATTTTTACTACAACGCCTTAAAGTTGGGATCAGGCAAATTTTTACTGCAAAGCCTTATAGGGGGATCAGGCAAATTTTTACTACAACGCCTTAAAGTTGGGATCAGGCAAATTTTTACTGCAAAGCCTTATAGGGGGATCAGGCAAATTTTTACTACAAAGCCTTAAAGTTGGGATCAGGCAAATTTTGTTGCGACACAACCAAAATCGTCCGACTAAACAATGATTGGTCCCTCGCTGCAATAAAACAACTCATAATTATTTATAATTATATAACTATCCACGTTCTTAAAGCTGCATTATCGTGTTTTCACGTTTTATATAGCACGGGTCGTGTCATAAAGGTATGGAAAGGAGAAAATGTTTGCTAAGCCGCTTCAACGTTGTAAATTGCGGAAATAAGGAAATAAAATCTCTTGAGATAAATCTGTATCTAGTCCATATTTCTCAACAAATAAAAAAAAGTTTACGTTTGCTTTTCACGCGGTAACCATGTCTGTTTTCAATACATACCCTCGTGGTTTCTTTAAAATCCCTTTAAGCGGCACTTTACTCTTTTTGTTGGCGTCTGTTTCTTCCAAACGACTCTTATGAAGCGCATGAGTGAGTAAGCTGTCCTCTGTAGCCTTTGTCAGGTCCTTTTCAAACTTATCCATAGCACTCAGGTGCTGTGCTTGTAGATAGAGACTCTGCTCCATGGCAAACCGAAGTCTTCTTTCAAACTCTTCCACGCGTTTTTTCTCGTCCACTGGGGAAGTAGAATGCTTGCTTGGGGCTACGTGATCCATTTCCTTAGAACGATCATCATGAGTAACTCCCTTCTTGGCGCCTCTCTCCAAAATATGACTGAATTTGTAAAACAAAACAAACAAACAAATCACATATACTATAAAATCCCTTTTCATAAGACTGGCTGATCTTGGGAGTCCGAAGGTCAGGATTCAACCCCCCCCCCCCCTTCATCAGACCTGTGGGTTATTTCAACTACTTCCCTGCCAACAAAATTCTGCGAAAGAAAGAATGATGAAAAAAGAAAACCTCATGTAATCGGCTTGGCGTTGACCTCAACTTAACTATCAAAATATCTTTCGATATGATTTCAATTAAAAGAAAAAAAGAAAAATATTTCCTTTTTTTAATAAACAGTCGCTTTTCTCATCTCTTTATGAACTTTTATCTTCGTCAAAGAATTTCTTTAAAGAATTGCTCATCATATATAGCCCCGTGATGACCAAAAATGAGCTCAGATTATGATCATAAACGTTACCTTAGTCTAATCTGATCCTCTTCAGCCAGTTTGTTAGACAACAGAGGAGTCTCCTCCTGTGGCTCTCCACTCGCCGTGTCTGCGCTTCCCTCGTCACTAGCCTCGCAATCGAACACGACGTCGACAGTATAGTAAATGGACACCAATAGACAGAAGCCGCCGAGCAAAAGTAATACCTATATCGAAGAACAAGATTTTTTGTCGAGATTCACCATTGACCATAACTGACATTTATGAGGAGGAGAAAAAGGTAAAAAAAAAAAGGGGAAAACAACAGACTAAAACTCTAAGAACTCGATGAATATAGACGCGACCACTTAAAAAAGGAAACGAAACATAGTACTGATAATGTGGCATTGATATCATATCTGATTGGATTAGCGTAGCTTAAATCTAACAAACCGTCGTGCGATTTGAACCAAAAACACTAAAAGTGAAATTCCTATGAATTCACGTTATCTACTGCAAGTTCTCGTCAGATTGTCATCTTATGCATCCAAAGAATAGGAAAAATCACGTTTCAAGTATCACAAGTCTACCTTGAGCGTTCTCTCGGACACAACATCTTGTGGTGCGTACAGTGGGGGCCTGGGCGGACAAGGTGGAGTATCGTTACTGTGAAGGTACTTGCCACTAGAAGCTTCCTCCACCAATCTGAAAAAAAAAGAATGCATAAGTTACTCATAAAGGAAATTTTTAAAGAAAATCATTAATTCCTGATAGTGAGTTCCTCTCCCGGAGTTGTGTCCATAGGCTTCACGCGTGTTTAAGTTTGAATCAGTTTCTATTTACGGCAGTCTTAAGTTGAGTGTCGAAAAAACCAAAACCAAAGTAATCACAGAGACCAATCAAAACAAAGATTTACTTTGTCAAAAATTATCTCTGCTAAAAGCTATATTTGGGCCGAAGATTCTTAGCAGGAGCCAATCTTTGTCTCTTCTATCATTTTAGCATTATTTTTTAAACAATTCGTAAATAAAGAGCAGTGTCCAAAACTTTTCATTTCCTATTTACGGAGGTGCCGGATTAGAGATTATTCTTACAAGCTGCGCTTCGATTGCGGAAAAAAAAATGTTTTTACCTCTGTCTCTTCTGTATCTCTTCTGGTGTCATGGAAGAACCGTAGAAAGTCAACTTCCAATCCTTCAGGAAACCTCGGCTGTGATCAAAACCTGGAACAAGACGAATTGATTACTGATTTACGCAAAGTCGATTGAGGGTTGTGAAACAAAAACTTTTGCATTCATATAGATCCAACCAGAACGAGAGCAAATACGGACCAAAGATAACTCACGTAAAATACAAGCTAAGCGACTTGAGCACGAAAAATACAAGTGACCAAGGCCTGATTTGTATTAGATTTGCATCTGATTTCTTGCGAGTGTGGCTCGAGTATTTTGTATGCCCAATCAGAAAGCGTAGTGGGGTACATCCCCCCTCCCCCCTCCAAAAAAAAAAAATTTTTCGGATTTTTCTCAGCAATTGTCAAAAATGTAGCTGCATTAACCTGCGTAGCTGGCGGTTTTGCGCTCTAAAGCGATGAGCGGTGAAGCCACGACAGGTATGGAACAGAAGATAGCTTAGTCTTTCCACTCGCGGCTCTGCTGCTCATCACCTAACGCACACGAAACAGCCAGCGATATAGGCCACCAAAACAACGGCATGCACTTAGCACACTACAATCTAGTAGTGGGTAAGGAAATATAACTGAAAAGGAATTTATAAATAAACAGAAACGGTTTGACAAATAGGATCAGATAGTTGATGCTACTGTCTTGCCTTCACAATAAAAGGTAATGTGACTAAAAGCACATAAAACATACGATTGGTTCGTACCATTATCAATAACGATCAGCTGCCAAGTTCCTTGTGGTTTTTCGCCCCAGCATCGAACAGTGGAAAACGTCCAGTCCACGAAACCATCCGAAGATCTACGTCGGAACAGATATTCAATGTCATAAAAAGTTACTTCTTTACCACGAGTTATGATCGGACACCTTACGGCCATTGCAACAACGATACACCGATGCCGGTATAATCCTAAATTCCACTTAAAAGAAAAATGGTAAACTGGCATTGCAAGAAGATACTTATTGGCGCTGGTTCAAGAGCTCCGTAATATTTTCGTTGAAAGCACGCGGGAGGTCTGTCTCATTTCTCGCGCCAGACCCCTCTAGATCACCAGGGAGCAAAGCGGGTCAGTTCGACTCAGGCTTCGCGTGTAGCCCGCGATATGCTTTTACAGCAGGACCATTAATGAGAGCCTGCTGTCGGACTGATTCTGAACATACCTATCGTGTTGTCTTGCTGTTGCCAGTTTGGATGTCGTTCCTTCAGCGGACACTAAACTGACCATTAAGTTTCCACGATGCCGATGCTTGAGATTCACCTGGAAGCAAAGGTAGAGTAAGACAATTCTTGCCAGCTTAGAGACATAATTAAGAGACCTCTCTTTTCTTATTTTTTCCCTATATCATTTGATGCTGAAAAGGAACAGTATAAGATCTGATCGTTTGTTTCAAGATATCTTCCGACATAGAATTAAAAAAAGTTCTTTCAAGAAAACTGATTGGTGAGAGGAATCAAAGTGACGCTGTAGTGAACTCGTGGATATACTGTGCAGAATATAACTACAGTGTACAGTGATTGTACTAAATGCATATGATTCTGGAATTCTAAGAAACAGAATTGAGCCGTCATCCACACTAAAGTCCTCCCCAGCTTAGCCTGCAGAACCGATGTAATTTTTTGCATTTCACAGGCGAACGGAGACGAGCGCTAGGCGAGCGCAAATCAAGATTCACGCGCATGAGGAGGAGCGCGAAAACCAATTTTTTTTTTTGCGTTCTTCCCCTCACACGTGACTCACACTTCGCGCTCGCCTTGCGCTTACCTCCATTCGACTGAAAAACGTCAACAAATTACGCCGGTTCTGAAGGCTATCCCAGCTGATCCGCCATATTTAACAATCAGTCTGCCATCTTTAATAAGAAGCACGCTCTTGCCAGATTCCTAAGGCAGGGCTAACGACACGAAATTTGCATATCGAATCCCAACATTACTCATTCCCATGGTTCGCATATCATCGAGTAAAAAAAGGAAAATGAATGAATTTTACTTACTGTGACAGTGACGTGTTCTAAAGTAACCACCTCTCCCACGTTGTCTTTAGACACTGGTAAAGAAAAGAAATAGAAGTGTTAGTTTTAGTTTACGCTAACATCACAGGAAGCATAGCGAGAACCACTTGGATTGAGTTGTTTCTAGCGGCAGAGTTTCAACAATGTTTCACAAAAGAAACAATTTAACTGGTGTACATACCGTAGTACTTTTCTATCAGTTGATTGGTTGATGTCGGGATCTGTTTTCCAACATGAATAATGGGTGTTGACCAAGATGTCATCCAGGGCACCGCCTTCCATACCTGAAAAAAACATAAATATCGCTTTGTTGAAAACAAAGCTCTGATAAACTTACCTGCAGTAAAACGCTACCAGATGTATCACTTTATATATTTTACCGCGCTTGATTAACTAACGTTGAGGAGCGCCGGACTTCCGTGCAGGAGGTCGAGGGTTCAAGTCCCAGACCGGACCAACACACACGGACTTAAAATAAGCGAGGAGAATGTGCTGCCTTTGCTTTTACATCGGCAAACAGTTAGACATTCTCGTCTTCACGGATAAGGACGATAAGTCGTTGACTCCGTCTCCTGCCTCTTCTCGCTACTAGCTAACAGGGGACATTAAAGAACCCACACACTTCTTACAAAGAGCACGGAACTTAGCTCCCGGTGTTGTGGTCTGACCTTGTCATTGTTTATACAGGCCCCCATTTAAACCAGTTCTGAGCTGAACTGGGCCAGCTTGTCTAAATATCGCAAAACACAAATACAGATACAAATTTTTCAGATTTCAATTTGAATGAATCGCCTATCCTTGATGAGAGGGTTTATCCTGTTAATAGTGAATGATGTACCTCCTGAATACCTTCTCGTGACTAACGAGCTCACCTTCATGGCACAGAAACACGTTTCACTACCAACCCTTCATTCAACAGATCTACACTTTTACAATAAAGATAAATATGTGAATACCTTAGCTGTGTTAACCAGTCGCCAAGAGTCCAGAAGACCGAATCCATACTTGTGGCTATGGTGATACTTGGCTCCATTTGTATAATAATCACTGTCGTCCACATCGTGCTAAACACGTGAATATAATCATTACAAAAAAACAACAATTCGATCAAAGAGCTATAAGAGGCTAGCCTTTAAGTCTACGACGCGACACTAAACCACTGTCCGGGAAAAAAGCCCTCCCTTCTCGGCCCGAAGGGTTGCCGTTTTGGATGGCGAACCTCGTTGACGGTCATATAAACTTCTACCTTAAAGTTGTACAAGACACTCACAACTCAGTAGAATGCTAACGCAACAGAAAACCAAGGGGCTTAGATTCGATAAACTAAGGGGTAATTACACACACTTCTCGCAAAGAGAAGTGTGAAGAAGATATTACATTCCCTCGCCGTTCTATTGAAAAGGTTCTATTGAAAAATAGCGAGACTTGAATTCCATATAAAGATTTTACGCGCTTCTCTTTCTAGAATTACCGGTGAGGATCAACTCGTCACAAAGGGGTTCGTTATACCGTCCACAAAATGGCAGTTTCTTGGTGAGATAAATAATCAACCAAACATTAAAATTCCTTTATACCTTGACAGCAGTAATGGCAATAATATGTTGGACATCTCTCCATGACAAACATGGTCTACAAAAAGAACAACCCTGGTCAATGATTCGATTATTTCAAACAGCAGAATTCCGATCAAAACCTCACCTAATTCTACACAAAAATCTCAATCGCATGATAAACGTCCCAGTCAATGCGCCCATCTACAAGTGAGCTTACCCCCCTCCGAAAATATTTATTTCTTTCTTTCGAATTCACCTTACAATCCTTCTAGTCCCCTCCCCCCTTCCCCTGCAATGTAAGCCTCTCGAAGCCCTTATTGAGACAGTATAGGTTCAGGGCTTCTATCGAAGGTTTTTTTTAACATTAGCATGGGGTATTTGCTGTTTGTTGTTCTTACCTTGCTTGTAACATGAGGGCGATCATTCCAGCAGCTAAGGGCGCTGCAGCCGAGGTTCCCGTATGTTTGTCTGTGCAACCCGTGCCAGTCCCTAAGCGCCAATCAGTTGTCACCTGGCAAGGCAGCATCAAATATATAGTCACCAAAGGGAATAACTACTGCGCGACACTACCCGCGGAAATCCCGAAGATTCGGGCAAAACAACAGGCATAAAAAAAAATTTTTTTCATTGAAAAGAACTTCAACAAATCGCATTTCGCAAAAGTGGCCAAAAGATGACGCTAAAATACCTTACAGTAGTTAGAATTGTACCTCCGGCCTGGGTAGCAATCTGCATTGTTTTGTTTTTTTGTTTTGTTTTTTTTGGAAGGGGGGGGGAGGGATACCAGAGTTTGCAATCACGTTCTGAAGGAAAGAACAGTTTATAGGCTTTGCATACACGCCATACATGTGGCTTGCACAGCAGCCTGTTGAGTCATACGGGAATCTTGCGAAAAGTATCCTTATCCCTTTGCCCCAGCACAACAGCATAATGACACCACTTTGTTGTAGACAGGGTTTGCATACGTATCTAAACACTTACTATGTTCCTCTGCATGCCTTGTCCGCTACTGTAAGTGACTGCCAACATGGCAGCACAGTGTTCTGCATAATATGGCATATCTCCTAACTCGTCCACAGCACCTACAATTAAATCATTGACAAAATTTTTAATAATGAGACAACTGTGCAATTGGTCATGATTTGCTTTGCCACATTGACGACGCGTAGTTAACGTAATCTTCTCCTCTTTGTTCCACGCTCTTTGCAAGACAAAAAAAAACCTTTCTTAATGAAGAAGGCTATCCTTTCAGGCTATGAGCGGTCCCAATTAACCAGCTTCGCGATAAGCTGCCCCAATTTACCAGCTTCACGATAAGTTGTCCCCATTTACCAGCTTTGCAGGTGAAAGCGAGTCAATGTTTTCAAAAGCCTCCATTTCCACTTGTCCACACAAGAGACAGAGCTTATTAAAAACGAAGCGTTTTCAAAATGTTCAAATTTCGAAACCGTTCACGAAAGGCTCCGCGTTTCTGGGTGCTTTAGTGTGAAAGATAGCCAGACAAAGACGCATAAAAATTATGTGGACAGAGCTTCATCTGTGCACTAACCTATTGTAACAGTGTAAATGGAGTTGGCATATCCATCAAAGTTACAGTTGTCTTTGAAATGTCCTCCGTTGCCAGATGCCACAACAAAAATACTGCCGTAACCTTTCCTACCAGCTAAAACACCATGAGCGAGAGCAGCCTATGAGGAAAACAAAAACAAAACGTAACTACTCCATATGGTATGTGTTATCATAATGATAATTATAGAGCAATAGGAATAAGGGGTATGTAAAGCATGAGATGGAAAAGGACTTGACTTAATAGGGAAAGATATTTTTTTCCGAAGAGCACGGGAGTACGAACTTCATATATTTTTATTATTTCTCAATTATACTTAAGCACATTGGTTTACATACCTGTGCCAATTGATGAGGTCCATCAACAGTTTTTCCATTATCATCAGGCCCCCAACTGCGAATAAATTAATTTCAGTAACTTGAAAGGTGCTTAAAGAAACGATATAAACTGGACATAAAGAGGAACATTTCCAGCCAGCACTTTGCCTGTCTAAAACTTGGGGACTGTAAGTGTATTTTTCTCTCCTCTTACGAAAAGCTTATGGAGTTTAAAATCTTTGTTTTTAATTATTTTTCCACATACCTGCAGCTATAGATGTCATTAATGTGCATCTTACTGTTGAATGCCATGGCCTCAAGGCTGTCCGTCATTGGACCGTCAAGAATTCGTACACCTACCATTGGTCAAGAAATTCATCAGATTTGTCAGAAAGAACTAAATTTGGTGATGAAGTGAATTTTTGGAGAGCTCAATTTACTCTCAGATTACCACCCTCTTACCAGCTGTCTTTTAGCAAAACTGATTATTAAACATGGAAAGGAAAGAACAAAAACTTATCTTGTAAGACTATTTGGCAATAAAGCCATCAAATTGTTTTGTAGTGTGCTACTTACAAGCTACAAAAGACTGCTATTTATTTACTATTTAGACAAAACGGAATAACTCAGTTCCAAGGCTGAATTGCTCACCCATGCTTTTTCCAGACCAAAGTTATCCTTACTCAAACATTTGAACTTTTTGTTGACAGACTGACTAACTGAAAAATTGTAGTTTCAATCCATATCACTTAAATCTAATTAGGGCTAATTCACCAAAGGAATCCCACTCAATTTCTCTCTGAATCATTTGCTAAATCCCAATATTTAATCTGTGAAATCCTAAAGAAAATGATCATGCAATCCTAGCAGAGTCTTAAAAGTCTATTCACAGTTTCAAAATTAACTCATTAGAATGTGAGGTCTTGAAAAAAAGGACCATAATGTGCATTAGATTGTAATAATAACCAGTAAAAATGAGCCAAAAAAATTTTAAATGGGTGAAAAAGACAGACAAGAAGCCCCCCAGAAAACAAAAAGAATTCAAGCAGAGACTGATTGATTGTCAGTGGTACAGGGTATTCTGATTTCATTGTAATTGACTCTAAATTTTTTAACTAGATCATCAAGTGATCTTCTAGTTATTACCTGATACTTTTGCCCCATAAGCAACACCTACAGCACAGTATGTGTTTGGCACAGCAGCAATCTCACCAGCACACCTGCCACAAAAGTTAGGAATTTTGAATTTTATATTTGATGGGTGGATAGATAAATTTTAGTATGATAGCACCTAGCCTTGACTTAAGCTGCAAAAGACAAGATGTAAGATGATTCCAAACCTTTATTTTATCTCTAAATTATCAACCAGTATCATATCAATACATTTTAAATTATTACACATTTACACGTAATTATTTATGGAAAAACTCTCACCCATCTAAAAGCCTCGCTAACCCACTTGAATTATAAGGGTAACTAGCTGTAATACATGGTTCATTCTCATGAAAACTGTCTTGAACAAAATCAAGGTACAGTGAACTCAATGGGTGCTATTAACCCTTTCCACCCTAACATCAGTAAACATAATTCTCCACAAAAGCCTCACTAACCCTCTTTAATTATAAGAGTAACTGGCTGTAATACGTGGTTCATTCTCATGAAAACTGTCTTGAACAACATCAAGGTACATTGAACTCAGTGGGTGCTATTAACCCTTTCCACCCTAACATCAGTAAACATAATTCTCCACAAAAGCCTCACTAACCCTCTTTAATTATAAGGGTAACTGGCTGTAATACGTGGTTCATTCTCATGAAAACTGTGTTGAACAACATCAAGGTACAGTGAACTCAATGGGTGCTATTAACCCTTTCCACCCTAACATCAGTAAACATAATTCTCCACAAAAGCCTCACTAACCCTCTTTAATTATAAGAGTAACTGGCTGTAATACGTGGTTCATTCTCATGAAAACTGTCTTGAACAACATCAAGGTACATTGAACTCAGTGGGTGCTATTAACCCTTTCCACCCTAACATCAGTAAACATAATTCTCCACAAAAGCCTCACTAACCCTCTTTAATTATAAGGGTAACTGGCTGTAATACGTGGTTCATTCTCATGAAAACTGTGTTGAACAACATCAAGGTACAGTGAACTCAATGGGTGCTATTAACCCTTTCCACCTTAACATCAGTAAACATAATTCTCCACAAAAGCCTCACTAACCCTCTTTAATTATAAGGGTAACTGGCTGTAATACATGGTTCATTCTCATGAAAACTGCCTTGAACAAAATCAAGGTACAGTGAACTCAATGGGTACTATTAACCCTTTCCACCCTAACATCAGTAAACATAATTCTCCACAAAAGCCTCACTAACCCTCTTTAATTATAAGAGTAACTGGCTGTAATACATGATTCATTCTCATGAAAACTGTCTTGAACAACATCAAGGTACATTGAACTCAGTGGGTGCTATTAACCCTTTCCACCCTAACATCAGTACACGTAATTATCCACACAGTTCCCTATACATTCCCTAAGGGGCTGATGAGGAGAATTCGTTTCATAATCCAGAACTTCTCTTGTTGGTGACCATATCCTTTATTCTCATTACCTTATGTGTGATTTGGAGCTGATATTGTAAGGAGAAATTAGATGCTAGTCACTCTAAGCGGTTAAAGGGTTAAAGTGACTTAAGAGATCATGGGCCCAATCTACTCTAGGTCTGGACCAAACAACTGCAGTGTTCTCATCATTGTTTTGACTCAATAATCACCTACAGCTGTACACTGCATACCTGCTTGTCAAAACATTATTCTGTGACTATCAATTAATTAATTATAATTATTAAATAATGATTATCAACAAGAACTGAGATTGCTCTGTTTGATACTCAAGACTTTAAATTACTAAAAGTATGCTGCACTATCGTAACTGCTTTATTTATCTGTACTTCTAGCCAAAAGAAGTTTAATTTCCTATATTTAATTTGTTAATTTTTATTTTATGCATGTGTCAACTAATCAATGACAAGAATCATGGCAATATTTATTCTAGTCTACCTGGTTCCATGATGATTTAAGCCAGCCTCATCTGCTCTTGGCATTGGATCATCATCATTGGAGTTGATATCCCAGCTGCCTTCTGAACTCTGTATCAAGGTGTACAAGACAACTTTAACCACTTTTTAATTTAATTCTTATTCATAATTAAATTCTCTCAAAACTCATTTAGAAATAATTTGATTTATGACACATTTGGTGGAAACAAACTTCAATTAGCCTTAATTTTTGTTTTTATGGATGATAGATCATGATGAAATGCTGGTGCAATCAAAACTATTTATCAACAACTTCTTAAAAATTAAATTTAAATTTGCACTCTATGCATTTTCCCAATAAGAGTGAATATATGCATAATACAAGAGAAAACATTATTTTACAGTAAAAAGAGTATAGGCGACAGAAGCTTCTGAAGCTTAGAAATTTTTAGTTTACTCACAATTTGCAATTTATTTATGATGAACTATGGTTATCTTAAAGGCATTAAGTTTAATATTCAGGTCACTGAACACCAAGGTATTTTTTTAAGGGATTGGTTGAAAGCAATATTATTTGGTAAAATACGTATATTGATGTTAAGAAGAAGGACATTCCAGATCTTAACAACCTTGTAAATAAGAATTAAAGAGTTGTGTGTTATTAAAAGACTGATTCCGATGAGTGTGGAATATCTAGTTATTTCAACAACAGAGAATTCACACATAAAGGAATTGAGAGCCTCAGGGTATATAAGCATCTTCAATACTCACATAATTGTCAAGAATATCAGGATTGGTCCATTCCACACCTTAAAAACAAGTGGATAACACCAAATGAATAGTAACAGTAAACTGTATGTAGTGTAAAGTTGAATATTTTCAATTTTATAAATCACCACTAATATTCCTCTAAAGTATTTCCAATCATGATTACTCACCATCATCAATAACAGATACAACTATTCCACGTCCTGTGATGTTATTCTCCCAGACACCAGTAACATTGATATCATGTCCTATGAATCGTAAATTGTCCTGCCATAAAAAAGTCAGATATGTTAAAATTAAAGTTTATATTTCTACTATGTCAAACTATGCAAGGTAGATAAAGGAAATAATGGATCCCAGAAAATTTTCATTTTATCTAAAAAATTCAAAAGTCTATGCACTATGTCTGAATTTGGAGTATTTTAAGTAATTTCTAGTGTTTCTTTATACTCAAGCTCATATTGTGTAAAATTGGTATTATTTTCTGAAAGTACATAACAATATGCAACTCTCATTACTCTTAGATTCAGCAAACTTTCATACATGTATCGCTACTTTGGAGGAGCCTAATTTTGGTGAGTAATTTTGACCAAGCAGAGTGGCCATGGTCAATATAGCATGTATTGCATTTTATCAATTTGGGTCTGTAGTGACAGTTATTGGTATAGAGAAATATCGTAAAGGCGTTTCTATACTTAGCTGCTCATTATCCAAGACACCCTTTCAATAAATAACAAAGTTCAATATTGAGATAAGTCCTTGACCTTTAATTTGAAAGTAGCTAAATCTAATGAACACTCGACGGACAAAAGAAAAATTTCTACTTTCAGAGAAAACCTGCATCAAGTTAACCCTATCATAAGGCATTAAGATAACGACTATCAAAAAGATGTTAGTTTAACCTTTCAAATATATTGTTTTTAGAAAGCTTCTTACGATAATCTAAAATCTATTTCAAATAAATTATTAATTAGGCCTAATCGACTCTTACCAAGTGCCATTGGCTTGGAAAATACTGATCCTTAAATTGTAGGCTTCGCTTATAACGCATTCGAACTACTTCTTGTCTTGACCACTCGATACTTGGATGTTTGGCTAAAAGTTCCGTAATGCTATTCTGCATTTTTCCAAGAACGTGTTCTTTGATTCCGCTTTGATTGAAGAAAGTATTATTATGTATGTACAGGTAATGTCCTTTGAGACCTCCAATTTGCCCGCGATTTACGAGGCCTGCCTCGTCCGCGATGCGGTCTGCTAGCGCATGGAGATCAGATAAATTAGAAAAATGAACCAGTGGTATTCGAATGGCCCACGATGAAGAATAATCCATTGAGTTTGTCGTTCTGTTGTGTACGATTCCATTATTGCTATAACATCCACAAATCAATAGAACAAAAACACGCCAATAAAAAGCCATAAATAGCCGCCATCCTAGCAGCTTAATGGGCATAACAAGTAACTAAGAGGCTACATGAAACATTCGCCAGCATTTCAACCAAGACCACGAAGACAGGAAAGGAGAAATCTAGAGAAATTGTGGCGATTCCCCTTTCCTTTTTCCGCCATTAATGTGTCTGCAGGTAACCAAGCCTGCCTTTGTCTGAAGATAACCGGAAGTCATTTGAAACATTTCAAAACATCTGCCCCCGCACAGACTCTTGGGAGAGAGACTGCAGTTCCAGTCTCACTCGTGTCAAGCCAATATGGCGGATGCGTAAGTAAAGAAGAAATGAGACAACTTTTTCGCCGATTTTCATCATATATTGCCATGAGTGCCTATGAAGTCAAACACAATGTGAAGGGTCAGGAATTTTACATTGCTTTAGAGAAAGGTTTGTGAATCCCTAGGAAGTGTATACCATACTCTCTTGGTATTTTTGCCTTTTGCCTAAACATGAAGGCCGTCCTACTACAGCTTAATTTTCTTGTATCTGTTGAAAATAGATATGAATAAATAAATAAATAAATAAATAAATAAATAAACGAAGAAAGAGAGAGATACATATGATCAAAAGTTTATCTAACCCATGATATATTGCCTAAAACATTCATCATTGGCCAAAATTTCAACCCCTAAGCTGTAGGCCCATCCCAGGGTGATTTGTTCTTGTATACAGAACCTCACCCCCGCCCCAGCCTTTATCGCACCCCATGATTACGGACTTGGTTGCGACGTGAACATGTCGCGCCAAAAATCTGAAGTGTAGGTTTTGAAATGTATGTAATTTTTGTCAGGAATACTTGGCGTATTGAACCATTTCTTTGGCTTATGCATAAGATGCACCCGCGTGCATGGAGCAGAAAAATTGTGGAAAATTCCCAACTCCTTATTGAATTAAAGAACAATCCACACAGTTTTGTCGGAAAGGCCCTTGAAAGACTATTGGTGAAAATTGATTTTTACCCTTTACTATTAATGGCACAGGTGTTCAAAACTGTCTTCAGTCTTAACAAAAATAGCGAGACATCGTCAAGGAAAATGTCGCCACATATCGTAAATGCCCCTGGGAGCAAAGGTTTTTGGCAAAGAACTGACATATTTCACATGGAATTGTTATAAATATCCGTCAATCCCCAAGGTTTCCTTGAGGTTAGACCTAGGAGGAGCCCTGTGATGGAAAAATGCAAAATTTTTCTAAACCTATTTTTGGCAAAGAACTGACATATTTCACATGGAATTGTTATAAATATCCATCAATCCCCTAGGTTTCCTTGAGATTAGACCTAGGAGGAGCCCTGTGATGGAAAAATGCAAAATTTTTGTAAACCTATTTTTATTAACAATACAAGTTCAAGAACCCCTCTTCCACCACCCCTCTTTAAATGCTTTACTATCTTTTACATGCACTTAGGTAAGGCTGTACTACAGTATGAAAATGAAGGAAATAATACCATGAATATGTACCACACAATGGTACCATCTGAGTACAGAGGAAAAGGCATTGCTGGGCACCTTGCCAAGGTCAGTGGTTGCTAATTAATAAGCGGAAATTTATTTTTAAGTTACCAGTTCAAATAAGACTTCTAGAATCTGGTACAGGTTCGACTTGAACCTTGGGACTGGCAAGGGTTGAAGTCTGCTCACAAGTAAAGTGGTTCCCCCTCTCCTCTCACTAGCACTTAATCAGGTTTCCATGGCGTGAAGGGGCACAGCAAGAGTTAAGGGTCTTGCCTGTGAACACATTTTGATATGGGTCCTGGTCATGGCTGTAGTCTAGTACAGTGGTTGCTAACACCCCCTGCATCTTTCATTAACGAACAGACTTGATGTTTTGCCTTTGCATTCTTCTTTTGAATTTGCATTTGACTGGTCTTGAAGAGTAAGGTAGCCCATGTTTAAGCATTTACATTTAAAAGTCAAACAGCTTCTTCTAGCCATATACTCTGGTAATTATTGATTCCACTCAGCTGAGTTCCTGATCTCATTCCCAGTTCTTCTTAAGAGTGTCCCACAGCATTATGTGACATCCTAAAGAATAGCTACAAAGGAGACCACTTAGGCCAACAAATTGCATATTTTTAAACCTTCAATTTCAGTTTGAAGGCATGTCACAGTGATTATATTTTACATGCAACTTTGAAATAGGATTTACTTTTATTTCTTTTTCTATTTTCCATTAGGCAGCATTTGATTATGCAGTGGGTGAAGATTTCAAGATGAGGCTAACATGCACATATTTGCAGAAATATGTAAAAGACAACCCGTTACCTGAGTATACATCACGTGTTGTTTGATAGATTCAACATTTCACTCAGAGGGAATAATGATGAAGTAACATGTATGCTATAATGGTAATTGATCCATCTAAGACTGCAAAGTGTAATTTCTATCAGAACATGGCTGTTGAACTTGCTAAGACATAGTAAAAGGTACTGGCCATTTTATTAATTTTTAAAAAAAAATTTATAAGAATTTCTACATTTTAATGAACCAAACATGCATTCATGCAACTGTCCTATTTATTTCAAAATTCAGCTCAAAGTGTCCTAGCTGTCAGATACAATGTTTTTTATCTTAATTAAAGCCATAGACACTCTTGTAGTGAATCAATTGTTAATAAAACTGATTTAAATATCATGTTCATGTTGTGTGTTGATGGTATACAATATGAATACTCTTGCAAATTCCCATCTCTTCTTCTTAAATTATACAGTGTTGTAACAAGTAATATGGTTTTACTAATAGAGAATTCATAATTACTATCATTATTATTATTCTCAAAATAAGAACTCTTTTGGTACAATATATTTTTGACTCAAACTGATAAGCTTTAACATTCAGTACACATAGAGACCATAATTCAAATGGAAACAACTGAATGTAAATCTCAAAGTACTGCATAAGAAAACAGGGCTATGAAAGAAAACCAATAAGTAGACATGTGCCATTCTTCATTAAGCATGTGGAAATCTGGCTATGCCATTTCCATAAATTGTTATACCTATGTCTAAAAGGACAACTGAGATATTAAGTGGCTCTCAATGATCAAGAATTGTTTTAGATGAAAGTATGAAAATTATATGGTGACATTTTCAGTTGGAACTGAAAGGAACTTTTTGTGTGGTAACACAGCCTGATTATGTAATTACAAGCTGTCAGAACCGCCTCAGTAGTAACCCATCCTTGATGTAATTCTTATTAAAACAAATTCCTGCCTATATATTTGTACTAATTATTTTCTTAAATGTTATGAGAGGTACTTAAATATAGAATAAATCCGAGAAAGAATCCAATGAAATGTGATATGAATTTCTGGCAAGAAATCCTAAACACATGCTTTTTAAACTTTTTTCCACTAGATTTAGATGTTTCACTACAAGTAACTACAAACCTCTTCAATTTAAACAAATAATACACTTGATACCTTAGTTATAGTGGGGGTGCACTTTAATCAGCCAAAAATAAAAACTAGACTGCAGAGACATTATCAGTAATGGCTGGTTAACATTGCTCTGGTGCCTCTGATAGAATCTTGCTCTAACTACCATCTCTTGGGATTATATATCATGCATGACCCCTTTTGAGTTGACAACTACCTTGGAAAAAACTACACTTGAATTTGCAGGGGTGGAGGGGAGGGGGATTTAGCAATTAATGCAGTAAAGGAGATAACACTTGGATTGCCAATAAATAATCCCAACCAGTTGCCATGGTCAAAGTGGAATGTGAATTGGAAAGCTCCAGATTGTTTATAATAAATCTGAAGAGGTGACTTATCAGCCATGTTGCCTCCATGCAAGAGAAAAAGAGGAAAAACTAAAGACCAAGAAAAAAAAACAGGACAAGCTGAGTGTGAGCAGAGAAGGCACGATGACTGCATCACTGCCAAAGTAGATGGACTCGCATATTATTTGGTGCAACCACAGTTGGCCATGGTCTTTTTGTGTTGTGGGTAATCACATGATTGCAGTCTTATCCCAGCATCTATTTTATCCCAACCGTCCTCATCACTGTTTATTACCTACAGTTTTCAGAGAAACAAAGTTGTTGTTCATTGTAACATTATAGACACAGAGCTTACTTTAACACTTAATGAAAAATGGCAGTAAGAACTCAAGAAAATGCTTTTGGTGAATTTTTAATCTTACCATATCTGGGTCATTTGCATACTTGACGTTTTTAGCAAGTTCCTGGAAAACCTATCAAAAGAAAAGAGTGATACATAACAAGTAAACATTAAATATCAAATACAAAACTAGACACAGAGTATATCTTGGATACATTGTCATCACCTACATGCTTGGACAATTGTAAAATTATCAGAAAAAATGATTAATTTAAGATAGATCTGTCATTGATTACTGTATAGTATTGACTGAAAATGTGCAGACAAAGCAAACTTGACAAGAAGACTACTCACAACTCTCCAGTAGAAAAAAAAAACAAATGTAGCCTTGCTGTGAAATAAAACATAATGGATTGGTGATAAGGAAGAAATAAAATTAACTGCTTTAGTTCACCTCTTGGACATTCTTTTGTGTTTTTGCACTTGTTTCAAAGAACTTCAACCCAAACTGTCTTGCAAGCTGTTCACAAAAAAAATTGCAATTTATATCACTTGCTTCAGGAAAGGCTCCATTTACCCCATTATCTTGAGTGTGGTCATTGTTCCAAACATTTCTTTGAGGAGGAAGTACCAACTCATTTCCTAAACAATGGCTGGTTATTGAACTTATCTTCAGGATACCATAGAAATTTTTTATTATCACACATGTAGAAACTTTACCATAAAGGATGTGCAGTTTTTGAATGATTTTGGTGGTACTTGAGGTGACCCTGATTATTGCCAAAGCCTTGGGTTCTACACCACTTGTGTCCTGCTTAATTCTCTTGATATTTTGCATACTCTGCACATATATTTCAACACATACACAGCAGGACTAATGTTAGATAAGATGTTGTTTCTGTGGTTGTTTTTCTCCAGAGGACTATGTCCTTTTTCCTTTTGCTGATATTACTGAAGCAGAATGCTATCTTCTACCTTTCATACACCCACTCTGAATACCCATCTGCCAATCTGACTACAAAGACTTGAATATAGAGTACACCTGGGTAAGTTGGAACTTTTATGTAAAGTAGCTGTATAGTATTTTTAAAATTGGCCAATCAAAAAATAAAAAAAAAAAACAAAAAAAAAACAATGTTGTTTGACCTCCTTTCCAGTTTGAGTGTCCACTTCCCAGCTTTTTCTGTCATAATCACACTTGTTCCCCACAAGTATTACTTCTTCATACATCAGGTTATGCTAAAAACAAACATTTACAATTCATGTAAAATGCAACTTATAGCAATTTGGAAACACATCATTTCTGCCTGTTAAGCGTGTTAGATAGTGCGATTTGGCCCATGTTAGACCATATTCTTTCATTCTTGTACAATTTAAAAATATACATGTAGAGGTATGTAAAAAATGTGCATAATCTAGATAAATTTCTATGAGTAGAACATTCTCTTCTAATTCTATACATTTCCTTGTAAACTGGTGCTTATCAAGTTATTATATTGTCATTTATATTATGATATAACACTTTCAACCTGATATAATCTTAATTGTTACTCTTCTCGTCACATTCTTTTTAAGATAATCATGAATGCAGTAAGTTATTACTTAATCAGTTCTGAGAATTAAAGGGTTTAACTACATCAAAATAATCAAGTGCTAGTAATTTTCTGTGCTTTTAAATCAAGGATCAAAAATACAGTTAATTAAAATCTTAAGACCAAATTAACATTCTATACAGCATCAGTCTGATACAATTACAAAATTATACATACCTTATTCATTGTCTTTATCCAGTACTGAAGTTGATCAAATGAATGAGCATTTGCAATGTCATAAACTAACAATATACCCTGTAAATTTTGAAAAAAACAAAACATATACAATCATACATTAACCAGGTACATGATGTAAAATGTTCACATGTTAACATCATGACTTAATCAGTGACATGTCTTCACTCAAACCATAAGAGCTCAGGACATCACCAACTAAAATTGCCTCACTTTCTGGCAAAAAAGAATACAGAATTTCATTTTCATCGCAACTTATCATTTTATTAAGATCAACACCTTTAGAATCATAGTGAATTTGTGCAGTGTTCAAAACAGAAAATACCATTGCATAGAAGCAGTCATGAAACCCTAATTCGCTATTATCTTTGCTGAAAAAATTTATGACCATTTGGTAAATTTCTCATTATAATTGGTAGTTTGGTTTTTTAAGGGTGGCTGTTTTCTTGTCTTTCAAGGCTGTTAACACATTTTCACAATGAAAATATGTGAACAGTGGGCAATCAATTTTCTGTCTCTGTCAACTCTTGCACATTCAATCATGCAGGGTACAACATGAAAAAAAAACTGTCTCAAATGTGATTAGAACAAGCAAATTTGGATAAAATGTGATGATGATATACAGACCTCACTATAGTCTATATATACCACCTCACTGGTCACAATTCTCCCCAAGCATTGCAAAAGCCTCTGTTACTTTAACAAGTACTCAAATAGAAAGCACTCAACTCACCTTTGTACCCCTAAAGTGCATGGAAGTCAGAGTTCTAAATCTTTCTTGACCCGCTGTATCCCTGATGGACAACAATTAATATTCACACAAAGAAGGAGTAATGAATATTCACTTAATTCTATTTTTTCTTCTCTTTTTCTTTTCTCTTGTAAATAAGTAAATCAATCTATTGCCATCACAATGGAAATGTTTGCAAAACCTTAGTGATTAACATTTAATCACCAGCCCAACAACAAATTATACCATCCTTAAATTCAAAACAACAAGTGAGGTTTACAAACCAAATCTGCAAGCGAACACGGACTCCATCCACATTCGTAACCACTGTTACAAAATCAATTCCTATTGAAAAATAATAATAAATTATTTATTGCAGTAATGTATTAATTTGAATTTTTAAATAGCATTACTCTGTTCAACACACTTGTTATAAAACCAAGTCATTATTTCAGAATACTTTCATAAAAACTAAACTTAAGAAGTTAAATCCAACTCACTCAAGCCATCAATACCCCTTACAAATAAAAGCTTATTACAAAGACCTTCTAACAGAGTGAAGAAACTAAGCTATCATCCCATTCTACACAATAACACACACACCAAACTTGTTATGACATGTATTCATTACAGACTGAAATAGATGAACTCAGAACCAACTCACCAATTGTTGGCAGAAGAGCTGCCCTGAAAGATTCGTTTGGTTTAGAATAGCATTTTATCAATGATGTTTTCCCAACAGCTGACTCTCCAATGATTAAAATTTTGTAAGTAACATCGTAATCTTTTTCCCGTAATGACATAATTCATGTTACATCTACGGCTGCAAAATCCTTCATGTCTTACTAAACAGGTATTCAGCACAAACTGAGAATCTCTCTTTGGAGCATGATCTATGAAAAAAAAATACATTCACCTTATCAGCAAAACCGTCTTCCCTTTATAAATACTATCTCACCTTTCCCTTTGTCTAATATTGGAATGATCACTTAAACTTCTCCTTTAAAAATCACTACATTGGTTAAGAAAGTGAAAACAAAACAACAGTTATTGTACAATGTAGCACTGAACACAAATTGATTTTGCTAGACAGTTAATGAAGACAACTTTCTCAAATTCTTTTTCAAAAAGTGATGAAGAAAAGATGGAATTGTCATCCAAAATTAAATGAAATAAATGATATTTTTACCAATGGATGAAAAACCAGTAGGTAAATGATCCTTTCATGTGACTGCACTTCAGGAAATTGCAGAAACAAAACCTGAAAACCTAAGGTTCTGACATTATTCAACCTCATGCCTCCAAGAAAGTACTTGGGGATTACTACCACCTAGCTACATAGCCACATGCTAGGAGCCAAGCAAATCTGAGTTGGTTTTTCTCTTCCACCAAGAATATGATCACAATTTGATGAAATAAATCACATTTAACCTACTAAATTTTGCCTTACTTCCCAATTAATTTCCTGAGGTTTATGAAATAATTATCTCATACATTCTGATATTAACCTCGAGTGGAACAAAGACCAGTGCAGGAAATCGTTAACATCACCTACTAATCTTTCAATCTTGCACATCACGTGAGTTAAGTCACTCGTCAATCTCGTGATTTACCAATGTATCAATATACCATATGCACGGATCACAAGGTGAGCATAATTCAGATACGTTTAAGCAATATTGCATTACAGTCTAATCAAACATTAGTAACATGCATATTGATTTTGATGATCGATTGGATGCAAAGCGACCAAATGAAGCCAGTCTATGCACAGTGTGACATTCCAATACCAGGAAAATAGAAAACTACAGAAGTAATTAACATAGCAGACCGAACGTGTGGAACATTATGGGAACTTCCGGATTTTCCAAGAGAAACTATCGAATATCTCCCAGTATCATTCCTGCTATAATTCGATTCTAATAAGATTCTGGAAGGTTATGGCTACTTCATGGAATAAATCTATCATCAAATCTTACTTATTAAGCAGAAATAAATGAAAGAGGAGTTAAGATTTGCAAAATGATCAATTAAAGGGATATTTCCGTCTATCGCCTCACCTTGAACAGTAACTGCGAGAGTCCAATATCCCAGAATCCATCGTGAAATGCTAGTTCCAGTGTCTCGCTATTAAGCAGTAATCACGATCAAAACCAACGAAAGACTTGTCAGAAACGCGTGTACAACTGCTGAAGATGCCCGCAAAACCTACAGTGAAACACAAAATTGCACTGGTTGGAGATAGTGGGGTTGGAAAGTCCAAGATTTTGTCATCCTATCTAGGAGAACGCTTCAATCCCCTCTATGTACAAACTCGAGGTAAGATGCATTGAATGCTGATTGAGTTTTCGTCGCAGTAGTGTTCTTGTCTGCCCAGATTACAATATTCATGAAAATGCCAGTTTTGTCAGTGATGGTTGTAAAAATGCTGAAAATTCCTTTTTACTCCCGCAGAAAGAGAAACAAAGAATACTGTTGTAAACTTTGGGAGAAGAGTTGTAGAACTTCAAATATGGTAAGAGTTCAATTCTATTTTCATGAATTTACGGAAGTCGGACTTTTTCAACGTTGCATGTTCACCTTTCTCTCTCCAAAATTGCGGTGCAAAATCAGAACCACCTTTTACCTAGCGTCATGTTTAAGTTATACTAGCGCCACAATGAGCATCTATGATCATTACAAATTTTTTGAGGCAGCTAGATGTCGCTTCTGTTGGAAAAAAGGAACTTCATTTCAAAAGCGTAAAAGTGTACAAATTTTACGTATTTTTTCAACGTTTACGTCTACAATTTCAAATTGTCTTGTAAGTTTGAGTGTTTAGATGACGTATCGTGGTAATATTACTTTCTAAGATAGCGGTCAATTTACATTGGACCTTCATCACAGGAGTTACTACATCACGGGCGACGAGCGGGTGAAGGAGAAAATGGCGAAATACGAGTGGTCAGCGGGGAAACAAATTTAATAACTCTTGTCGTCTTGTAAAGCCAAAATGTTAACAGTATTCTTCGCTAAATAAAATGTTAGGCAATTTTTCAAAAGTGTTGATGGCACATATATCTTTTACTGCTGTATTAAATAATGGAGGCATCGGAAAAGGCATTGGTGGCATTCGGAAAAGCACCAAGAGGAATTTATATTTACGTAACTTGCAAAAAACAATCGTGTTGTAAAGCCAAAATGTTACCAGGTATTACTTCGCTACTTAAAAAGTTAAGCAATTTTCTAAACGCTTTGACTGGAACAATATTTTTACTGCTATATTAACCAACGGAGGCATTGGGAAAGGCATCAGTGACACCGGGAAAGGCATCAAGAAGAATAATATTTACAATATGTAACTTGTTGTATGACGAAAAAAAGTATCTTGACTTGTTTAAGGCGTTAATCACAGCTGGTTCGCTTTTCACTTGAATTTTGCAATTGCTGCTTTCGATTCCAGAAAATGAAAAGCTAAGCAACTCTAAAAAATTTTTGTTCTAGATTTTTATATTTTTAGAGTCATTAATAAGTTTGTATCCACAGCCTCTAGATAAGAAATTTAAAATTTCCATCAGCTGTAGTTCTTTTAGTGTTTATTATATATATTCAATCGCCTCATTTCACGTGAAAAAGGCGTTTAGGAAAACACTGAGCTTCGAGAAACAGCCAAGTTAAGGCTAATGTGTTTACCATGCTTACATATTTATAATCAGGGCCACTCATTTAGGAGACCTTTTTTCAAAAGATCCAGAAGGTAAAATAATTCTGTTTTCCATTCAAAGTGTTTTTTTTCCTATTTAATTTAAGAAATGAGCTTGGGATGAAAACTTAACTTTCCAACTGAACAACAAGTGAAATGTTGTGCTGGGTGTCTCTGTCTCCCACCCCCATGTCTCTGCAAAAGGTATATCCAGACACAGGCGGCTCAAGCTCCAGCTGTGAGATGATCATCTTGCGCAATAACAGTCATGGCAGAATTATAAGAGTTTGTATGGGAATATTTACGACCGCCCTAAGGAATTAAATAATACGTCAAATTCTCAAAAAAAATAACTCACCTTAATTCTACAGCGCAACACTTGTTATCTGACAGCTTACTCTGATGAAAAGGACGCATTTTAGCAAGTTGTCCATTTCGAGGTTTTCAACGTTCATAAGAAAAGCCCAAGGCTGAACACTCCATTTCCGAACGCCTGATCTGAGAAGCGAAAAACCCAAGCTCAGAATGACCGGGCGACCAGAAATCCAATGCAGAATCCAAGCACATATACTGTAGTTTCATTTCAATTCACTAAAAACTCAATCTTCCCTGTGCAACCAACACTATGCCGCAGTTTGCTTCAAATATATCCAGTTTAGAGGTTTCTAACAGCCCGTGGCCACATCAACCTTGACACACACCCGTTGAAAACCAGCTTGGTAACCCTACCTCCTTTTCAAACTGAGCCTCACCGGGACTGACGGTATGGTCCCCGGCGAGGCTCAGTTTGAAAAGGAGGTAAGGTTACCAAGCTGGTTTTCAACGGGTGTGTGGCTATCACACCAAATTTTTAAAAAAATCTTTAAAACTAAATTGGTGAGCAGCACTTTGCAATCAGTAGTTGTAAAATTTTATTCTCCGACGCATTTCGTCTAACTGTTGTAGACTTCTTCAGTGAGTTTTACAATTTAACACTAACCAACTGTATTTATAAGCCATAATTAGCAGCTATACGGGGGCCAATAACCATAAAGGCTTGGCTGGACCTACAAATAGGAACAGGTGAAGTTGTGAAAAATTTGAAAATTTTTTGGGGCAAGGTGGGAGAATTCATTTGGGGACCACAGTTTTGGTTTTTTTCTTTTTTCATCATGCACATCATGCAGTGTCTAAAACATAGCAGTTTGCATGGACTAAGTAGGGTAAAGAGCGCCAACAAAACAAATTGCAAGAGTAAAAAATTTAGCAGACCAGCAAGTAGAAGAGAATCAATTCTTTGTCAATTCAATCTGGTTCAATAGTCATAAAAAATTGCTGGCTGATTCTTTAATTGAAAGGGAATGTCAATCACTAATAATGCATGCATCTAACAGCTCACTGGTCACAATACAACTCCTACTTACCTCGAAATCTGGCCCTTCATCTTGCCTTGTTACAGCAATTCATTCAATCTCAATAAATGGTGCAAAAGAAAGTTGAAGAAAAACAAATTCTCATCACTTTTATTTCCTTTGTCGTTACTACAGAAATTAACACAGCAATGATCATGGGCCATGCTTGCTTGTAATCTTCACTCAAAACACTGTAATGTAACACAAAACCTATACCTTTTGCCAGTCCAACCTCGATTTGGTGCACTACACAATCCAAGATGGCACTGTGATAAAGGTATATATGGTCGCCATGACATACTGCAACTTGAAGATGGGCTATTTGAAAAATAAATGAACACACAACAGAGGGAGGTCTACAATCAACTGAGAGTGCTTATCAGAATATTCAAATAAAGAAAAACTGTTTGTTAAAAATCTCTTTTATTTGTGAAATGTGGCACAATTATAATTACTCTTACTTTTATTATGAATTTCACTGGTGGAGAGCTTGTTTCTCCTTGGTCTTTTGAGGATGATATTGTCTGATTTATTTTATCATTTGTCTTGGTGTTTTGATGATGATACTGTGTGATTTATTTTATCATTTGTGCACTGAACTGTGGTAAATACAGACACATGGTTCAATGTTTTGTACACTCATCGACAGCAATATTCGTCTACACAGTGGTCAAAATGCTGTGGACTCACAAATCATAGCCAAGTGAGTTCGCAACAAATTTCCAACCACTGTGACAGAGTGCAACATTACTGCCAATTGTGGTATAAAAAAAAAAGATTTTGATGTTGTTCTTTGATTTGCTCATTAGGGACACACCTGGTAACGATCTCTTCAGGACAATGACAGCTGCATATGTACAAGAAGATGTTCAGGTAAAGGAGATTAAAAAAAGAAACCAGTTGACATCAATAATGTACTGTTGAGGACTAGTGTTTAAACAGATACCTCTGGAACAAAAAAGGTGTCTATGGCCTAGGCTGTAGATGGCATTTACCATTTTAGTCAATTTTTGCAAGAGCAGAAAAGTACCTTGTTTTTGGCTGGTTTGAACCCAAGGGTGACATGCACAGTTGCTTGCAAAATGTGATCATCCAGTGCCAATGTCTGACTGAAATTTAACCACTTGAACACAATATGATTTATCAAAAGCTACTAGGTAACAACCTCTTTCATCTACCAACTTTGATGATCTCACATGTCACTGAGAGGTTATCAAAAAGTTGTTTATTGTCACCAACTGCTTTATTTGTGAACTGCCCTGAAGTGGATGATGGTAGCATGAGATCAGTGTTCAGTGTAGTAAAAGAAAATGATCATTTACTTTAATTTTCTTGAATTCAGAACAAATAAACATATTTCTTTTGAGGTAATGAAGATAAAAAGCTAGTCTTTTGTTGGTTTGTTTGTATACTTTTGTTATTGTTTGCAACATTTTCTAGAAGCTTAAATATTAGATTGAGTAGTTGGTTTGTTTGTCCATTTACAGGGTGTGGTTGTAGTGTTTGATGTTACAAATTATGATAGCTTCTTGAATGTTCACCACTGGGTCAAAACAGTAGAACAGGTAAGGATCAGCTGACATACTGGGAGAATTTAAATGTGGCAAGGGGCTTAACAATCTCCAAGCTAAGCTTATACTCCCTACTAAGTGTCAAATGATGTCCTCTGTACAGTTTGCAAGCAAGCTCCTTGCAATATTAGCAATTTACAGTGTGTTTGTAATCAATTTGTGAGGATGTAGTGGTAAGTAGATATTGAAAATAAGTCTTAAAACATCATTTTGGCGAGCATGTTCTTGAAAAATTGATTTGTGAGAAATCGCAACACTGCATGTATGTTGCTTTGCTAGTTTTGCTCATCATGCTTTCCCAACAAAAATGTGGCAGGGTTCCACCCCCTGATGGTGGGTATTTTACAACTCATCCCTGATTGGTGGCCAGTTTGAGTGAGACTGGGAGGAAATGAAAAGCACCATGATCATAACTACTTCAGATCAAATTCATCTTTATTGGATTTTTTCAGTTCAAATAAGTGTCAAGGTTAAACCTGAATGTTTATTGAAAATCTCATTATTATTGTTGTGGTTTTTGTTATTATGATCATTATATACAATATATGTTCAATACTGTTCATTACAGTAACACTGTTCATTATTGTAGTATGCAAGACAAGATAATGTTAATTTTGTGTTTGTTGGAAATAAAACTGACATGGAGGAAAAAAGGAAAGTTTCAAAAGAACATGGAGAGGAGGTAGGAAAAACTTGAGTGCAGCATTCTCCCTTATTTTAAGCATGACAGATAAAATAAATTTTCAAACCAGTAAAGCAATCCTTTTACCTATTGAATTTTCAAGAATTCCAAGCAATTTTAAACAGTAATAAGAGGTACTACAGGCAGTAAATGTTACCGGTTACTGCCTGAAAAGGAGAACACTGTGAGTGTGATCATGCCAGATTAACAACTTTTGGATTAGATAATTTGGGATTCAGAAATGGGACAATTCCAAAGTCCAAAAGAGTAAAAACACTAGTTTGATCCAAACATGAAATTGTCAACAATTTGTTCATTATTTTATGGGTAAAGGGAAAAGGCTCCGACCAAAGGTCCCTTTTAATGTAGGCATGGATATATTTTTAGACAACACATGCAACTTGAATTGTGTCAGTAGAAGTTTCATAGGAAGAAAGAGCTCGCTTCTCTATAATAGGATAATTTGGTTTTATCACCTGAGTTGATAAAGTAACATAACTAATTGACAAATGTTAACAGTTTGAAAACTGACCTTTCAAGCTACTGACAAAAGGCTATTTCCCAAAACGTTAGCCTTTAAACTGTTTACGGTGGCCAATTTATGTTTTAAGCTCAGTTGATAAAATCAAATTATCTTGTCATACTCCCCAACTGACGTGGTACCATAGTTCTTTTTGAAACGTACTCCCTTTTTCATACAGTGAATTTCTTTTTTTTTTTTTCAGTTGGCAAAACAAAAGAATGGAGCCTACATTGATGCAAGTGCAAGAATGAATAGAAACATAGATCTGGTAAGCATTATACTTTGCATTCCATAATTATTTATTAACCCTTTAATTCCCAGCAGTGATTAACACGTGACTTTTCCCTATTGCATCCATACATTATCCAGCAAACAGGTAGTGAGAGTACTCAAACTTATCAGGTACAAGATATTATCTTGATTGAACGTCAAATTCTCATCACTGGTTTACAAGGAGATGTGTAGCAGCTAGAGGAGAGAATTAACAATCAGATCTTGGGGGTTAAAGGGTTAAGTTCCCAGGTGATGATGGGAAGGTACACTTGTTCTGACAGGTGAAACATCGCAAGAATTTCTTCTTATGACTATTAACCGACAATTCAAGGTGATAATGACAATCAGGCCCAAATCTGCTAGTTTATATCTCATTGTCCTTGGAGGGTGTCGCTCTTGCGGTGGCGAAAAAAAATCTAATTCATAAGATTCCAAGGGGTGTCGCTCAAAGACGCGGTTAACGAGGTGTTTGGGGGCTATTTTACAGATTGAGATTGTAGAATAACAGACCAAGGTTGACCGTTTATATGAATCTTTAATCTTGCAAGTAATTGACCACGAACCACAATCAACGATCAAAATCACGATCAATCTCGCAATCAATCAATCAATCAGTCGTAGACTGAAACAATAGGACATCAGAGCTCTATCAATCTAATGAAATGTTACGAAATACACAATTAAAAATCGCGTGTAAAAACTGGGCCTTAACGCTGATAACGATATTAAAATGATAATGGACCATACAAGTAAACCAATACAAACTCCGATAAGTACAATAGTTTCGGTACAAAAATTACAAGACATTTGGTGGCAGGTTAACAGCCTATCGTTCTTATCGAAATGGTGGGCGTTCACTTGCATCGCATTCACTTGCATCTGATACAATTTTGGCTTTTTAAATCTCGAATAAATTGATAATACGGCAATACAACAAAATATCTGTTTGTATACTTTCGCCCAATGCTGGAAAACTAAACTTAGAAAAACAAAGTGACAAAGGTACACATGTATTGGTCCTGCTTGTGCCAAAGGTTCAAGAAACGAAAAGACGAAAGTTCACAAATACTACTCAAAAACTTATGAAGAACTGATTACAGAGACACTAAACTCGCTTTTATATTCGCGTGGTGACGCTGAAAGGTCCGATTACAAAACCAGTAGAAATATAGACAAACAGATAAACATTGTAACTCTCTTCGTATCTAGGACCATTCTGAAATTATTAAACTAATCAATAATCAATTAAATAAAAATGAGTCATCTGGCTAGGTGTCCTTAACAAAGGGGACAAACCTTTTGAAAAAAAGAAGACAAAAGAGGAGGTAGATGATACCCATTCATCTTGTAAATTTATATTCACCAGAAAATTAGTTTCAGTTGTCAGATTTTTTGGATAATCACAAACTCCTAATTATATAATTAACTTCTCTTTGATATATGGCATTAATTGTGGATTTCTGTTTAAAATACAAGTTTATTTTATTGAAAGTTCTTGTAAACTTTGACTTCCATGACTGTTACTCACTTTTTACCTGTCCAGATATTCCAAAGCATGACAAAGATTATTTTAGGTATAGACGAAGGATCAAATACGGTAAGAATACATTATGTACACTTCAAAGTTTATAATATGCTGCATGCATAAAGTTTTGCAGTTTTCATAATTTGCATGTTTTTAGACTTGCTAGTAGGCAAAGCCATGAACATAGCATGTAAAAAAATTTGCACTCCAGAGCCCAAACTAAGTGCAAAGCACACTTTTAAGATTGAGGATTTCCAACTGAAAGTAAAGGCTTTCTTAAATTCTTCTATAGATGTAAGCTGTGAATTTGAAGAGTATTCTTCATTTTTTTTTTTTTAATTTTTTGGCCTTTGAATTCAGTATTACACAGTGAGACCACTTTCTTCCATCACGACTGCACTGAGATAAACCTGTTTGATTGGACTTCTTCCTTGTGCCCCTCTAAAATTCAGGCATAGTTGAGGATATTTAGTGTTTTCCAACCTAGGGAGCTCGTAGACACTGTACCAACAGGGTTGTAGATAAGATCCGTCAGCCGGCGAAGGACGCCGGCTTCTCCGCAAGGTTTCGCCGGCTACTTTCATTGCTTCGAAAACCCGTACAGAGATGATGTTTATCAGGTCTAAACTTGGGCTCAATAAAAATATAAATTTGCACTGCCTATCTTTTCTGAAAACATAAAAAGACTTCTGACTCAAGTTTAGTTTTAAAAACGTTGTGATGGGGACTGTCTTTTTGACAAATCTTGCTACGGTGGCAGGAAAGTACGAACGATATGACGTTTTGTCCGCCATATTGGATTTCGAGACCCACAACCGTTTACCTTTAAAAAGCTCCGGCTACTTAAAACCTTAAAGAAAACCCCGACCAAGTGTGTCTCCAGGTACAAGCATTATAATCTTAATGACTGAAATGACACCTGAATAGTGTCCAGAATCCAGAGTTTTAGCTGATTTGGCAGCCTTCAATAGTCCTCCACTGAAGTTAATCGTTATTTTGTACTCAAACCTTGCAAGTATCATGCCTCAGGAAATTCTCTTGAACCTGGTGTGTTTTCTTGATATAAGAGAATAAGCAATTTTGAATGATGTAAATGAAGATGGTAAATTTTAAGCCTGGTTAGTCTGGTGAAAGATGATGTTATTCAGTGAGTGACTTATGTATATTCGGAAAAAAAACTTAGAGTGCTTCCACTAGGTCTTGACCCAACGACTTTCCGATTGGTACTTCAGATGCTCTTCCACTGAGGTAGAGGTCCATGGTTACGTGTCTAAAAACAATTAAATTATTGGGACAAATATGCTTTTATTTATTTATTTGTGTTTATTTTTCTCTTTATACGTATTTATGTATTAATTTAATATTTATTTGATTGTTATTCTTTTTTAATATTATGATGTTTTTAATTATTTTTAGCTTTACTTTTGTCTCTTTTCAGTATAATGACCGAAAATCTGAAGCAGGAGATTCTGGAAACTACAATGGAAGAGTAGAACAGAAGAGATTCTGTAATTTTTTGTGATTATAATATCTGCTTGTAATGAGTATATTACTACAAAAATTTTACAAGCGCAAAGCAAATTCAAACATTAAAAAAAGAAAGTAGTTGAAAGGTATTGATCTAACTTCAAGCTTTGAATCGAATGAGCTCTATTTAATTTTCATATCGTTAATTCTCGCTGAGATCATCGTCCAGCCTGATTTTCAAACAGTAGCGGGTTGCTCGCTCCGAACTCCCTCCTCTCTAAAGTAGTCTTTGAAAAGCTGATCGAGACTCAAATTGACTATCGTTGATCGTGAGAGAAAATTAGGAGCCGCTTGGGATCTGTTAAAGGTGGACACGAGAGGGCTGATCTCGCGCTTGCTTCACAGGCTTCGTCGCTTAACAATTGAAAAACTGCTATGGGTAAATTTCATGAACCCTAAACTATTGTTTTGTTTTTGGATAGAGTAGGCTGGACGATTCTCAGTGAGGGGTGGGGTGACTTATTTTATGAAATAATCAAACCAGGTGCACGAGTGTTATTTTGGAAACCACTCTGTTTGAAAAATGACTTTATTAATAACACAAATGAATTCACTGTAAGTTGAGACCATGGATTGAACTTTGGGTTGAGAATATAAACAGGTTATGATCTCTTGATTTTGGTTATGAACAATAAGTCACAAAATTGCTGCTCCTCATTCATTTTTAACATTTTCACGCTCAAGCTTTAACGAGGTCAGCGGACAGTTATCTGTGGTAGAAATAAAAAAGTTTTACCTTTTTATCGTGACTCAACGAATTAACAAATGTAGTATACAGTGTAGACTTGTGTGATGATTTTAGGTTTTTTGATAACGTTTACAGCACGTAAAGTTATACCGCAACCTCAAAGATAATATTTTCGGTGGGAAAGAGGAAGGAAATTTTATAGGAATCTTTTTTCAAGGCCCACGTCAAAGTGTTCAAGCAATGTTGCGTTATTAGTGGTTTCCAAAGCAACGTTAGGGAAAATTTTGACATTCACATCAAAAAATGAATAGTTAATTTCATGACTGCATAATATATTTATCCTGTAAAAGCGAGACCTAAGAAAAGAATGAATTTAGGTGAAGCAGAAGGAAGGGCTACCTGTTAGGTGGAAGGAGAGGCGGTGAAGGGGGGGGGGGCAAGTGTTAAAGTAATTTGGTGCAAAACAATTTTTTTGCTGAGTAGTATGAGGCAGCTGCTATTGATGACCTGAAAAAAACTAAAAGAAAGAAGGAAAGAAAAGAGGCTGCGCCTGTTTTAGAGGAAGCGCTACATGTTAATGCGTGGGTGATAAACAATTTAAGTATGTAAGAAAAAATTGTAGTGTGGCAACTGGAAGACTTAATGAAACTGAGTTTCAATAAACAATCAGACTTCAAGTCATTCGTGCATGATGTTAGTTACTGTGAGTCAACACAAACATTTCCAGTAAAGAAGAGAATGGTGTGCAAAGTAATAACTCTTAGAAGTTACTTCTACCAGAGGCTTCTTTCAAGCACAAAGCACAGGCACAAAATGAAATAACATTCGCTCGGGATGAAGACGCGGGAACGTCGCTTTTTCTTCCTTTCAGTCATTAGTCATTACTACGTGCCAGCTTTTTCTTACTAGGGCACAGGCAAATGAACAACTAAACAAAAATTCTGATCTTGAAGAATAACAGGTAACATTTCCAATTCACCATAAGTAAAGGTTTCTGCAATAACAATTTCTTTCTCATCAACATTAGTTTGGGCATGGTATACTGAGCTGGACCCTGTTATGATAGAAATTACTTCTGATTCGCAAAAGAATTTTCAACACAGTGGTGTTATACGTATCAGACCGGGTATCCAATTGTAAACAAAGCTTCTCCGACAGTGTGACTGCGGATTTGGAAATCGTAAAATAGAACAGTAAATAGAGCGCTGCTCGTGATGTGCATGAGAATGAATGTCCTCAGCATGAAAAAAAAACTGGAAAGTTCACGATTTACTAATGGTACAAATAACTTGCGTAAATTTGATCAACTATTGTTACCATGAACTTGGTGAGTGTCTCTTAGTCTCCAAGCGTATTTTTCCTCGTAACGCGTCCAGAAATGTCGAATCCTCAGCTTGTCGCATTATACCTGTTGTTTCTACTTACAAAAGGATCAGCACATTCTTCGGGCTTATTAGATTTTGCCACGAATGAATTTCCAAGCTGCAAAACGCGTAGTCCTTCTCCGGGAAACCCAGAATACCACTTATGAGAGAATGGGAGAAAAGCCGATAGAGTTCTCGATGGCATAAATATCAGGTCTACCTCACAAAATGACTTCTTCAGTCTTTCCTTGCTTTGGACAAACTTTCTTAGTCTTCTTACAATCAATTGATCTCTGGAAATTCCACCAAGGATTAATACTATCTTCGACGCCCCTGTGTTTTCCATCAGGTCCGCCCACGAAAACCGAATGGTAATTACTATCTCGTAATTTAAGTCTAGCTGTTTGAAACAAAATCTGCCAGTTTGCATTTCAAGTTAAGCACAGTCAATTTTTCCTCCTTCTTATCCTTTGATATGGCTTTGTCGTAGTCTCCGTTCATTGAGGGTTCTTCAGGTGCAGTAAACTAGACGTGGATGCAACTGATGAGACTCTCCTGATCGTGCTATTATCATCAAGGTTTGTGTCAATTTTCCTCAAGATCAAAAAATTTGTCGCTGAAGTATTAGTAGAGCATGCTCAGAAGCACCTAACAAGCCACGCAAAATAGTGGGCAATTTACAATCAAGCTAAGCCACGGTTTGTATGCCTTGAAAAATGTAGCCTTAATTTCTTATAGCTTTGTGGTGCCTTATCCTCCCCATTTTGTAAAAAACTAATCTGTTGCAGTCTTCCGCAAGTCAGAGGCAAATTTTAGGTCACGCAAACACTTAAAGAAAACGACTCGACATGTCATAAAGTAGTCCTTTGAATTTTGTCAAACGGTGAAAGGAAGATCTTTTTCAGGAGTATGTCATAACGGCCCAAGGCTATGCTCATTTATAAAGGCAATTAAGAGTTTTCTCATCCTTTCACCTGCGCATCTGCGAATCCTTTATTTCGAGGAAAGAACATAAAATAAATACACGAGTGATCACGCGTGTCGCGTTTAGCGCCGTTTACTCCCCTCCCCCCACTCCCAGAAGATTTTATCTAAAAGCCACTTGACATGGTAATTTCCTGCCCGGACATGGCATGTTTGCATTATTCATGACAATCGAAGAGTGGTTGTGCAACACAAAGGATAAGATGTGAAGACTAAGAAATGGGGGCCGAAACGGATCTTCATAGGTTGGTAGATTTGGCATTGCGCTCTCCGGATGCAGGTGTCGTGAACTTCAATCATCTTCACTCTCTTCTTCACGCCATTTTGAATCACATCGGCTTGAGTTATGACCCGCAGAATGGAGTGCTAAATACTCAGTCAGCTGCTGCTCCTGATGAAGGAAATGACAAAGGTACTTCATTCGAGCAGTTAAATGGACCAGGTAAAGAAATTTCCGACGCTGACAATTCCAATCGTGATGATAATCGCCTGGTTCAGACAACAATTCAGTTGGACCAAAGAGGCCACTTCGACAGGTTTGATAAGCTTTTAGTTTGCCACACTTTTATTACAACTATAGTTGTTCGAATATGCATATGTAGCTTAAGCTGTTAAAATGGTGTTTCTGTGACACTTTATTGTTCCATTTCATCACAAACACCGTTTTGTCGAGCGGTATACAACAGCGAAATTTGTAAACCTTGATCAGCGAACCGTAAGCGTGTCATGATAACAAGGCACTTCGTTCTGTTTATCACTTTACCGGCCATTACTTTCAGTGTTCTTTTGACAGATAGTGTTGTGGATGTTATAAATTATTCAGATATCGCTTTAATAGCGTTTTCACGACTAAAAGTTAACGATCTAAAATGGTTTGTCGGTGTGCAGAGCTGACTTTTCGAGAGCATCTTTTCACGATGAAGTATTTCCCTTGTAATCGCGCGAAAATAGCTCATATTCTTAAGCGGATTTTCACTAATTGCATGTTACATTCATTATCAACAATGACGGTAAGCGAACAAAATCCAGCCATTTTTACATGCAGCCGGAGGGTTCATTCTCTTTACGTATTTTGATTAAAAGTAAAACCTTGAATTGATCTACTTTGTTGCGTGAGAATTTTACTGGACAACTCCTCAGAAAGACCGAAATAGTTAAAAATATTCAACAAAACGCTACATTCTATGATTTGTTGACGGTTCAAAGTATTTGTCGTCGTGGAAACGAAGACATTTAAAGTTAATGTTTACTTTGTATTTGTTCAGTTAGGCGCTCATAAATAACTTTACAGTGAAATGTCAATTTTTCCTTTTTTGTTACTTTGCTTCAGTCTTTCAGTTTTGATTAGAGAGAACTCCGTTCAAAATTTCAGCTGTGCAGATGTTTTGGGAGAGGTTGAATATTGTAGCAACTTTGCAGGGGGCTTATTAGGTTGACTTTACTTTAATTTACCTAATATTCATAAACACTTGACAGTGTTTGCAGTGGGACGAAAGCCAAACTATTGTTCTCTTTAGTTATTTTTGCAAACAATGGTTGGCGGAATTATCTGTAAGTTTCAGCAAATCAAGGTAGAGAGTATGACTAGACTTGCACTTGAATAGGCTTCAGTTTCTAGACTTTCCTTAAAAAAACCAAATTATTTATAGAATTTTGTGCCATTCATGTTAAGTTGACGAACTTAACTAAGAGGAAAAAATGCACATAAGGCCTGTTAAGTGTCTTAAATATGTAAATGTCATTAGTCTAAAAACCTGGAATGGTTTTGAATCTTTGTTTCAAATTTCTTAAACCAATTACTAATACTAGTTTGAATCAGCAATGCAGTTTTTCAACTGTAGCCCCTTGTGGACTGAAAATAAATAGCAGTTCCAGAGATAATTCATCACTCTTAATTTAATTTTTAGTATTTTTTTGTATATTTAATAGTAAATCTTATTACCACAGTATTTATCTCCTGCATGAATTAAAAAAATGTGAGCAAAAATTGGTAGTATAAGGTTATTTTTGATGCAGAGGGCAGAGCAAGTTGATTCACCACTTCACCAATCCATTTGTGTTTACAATCAGTTACTAATATTTTTGTTGTTTCCTTGGATTTTGAAGCCACTTGTGAATTTGGAATTTCTATCAACCTTTTTTAGCACATTTTGTGGATTTATCTGGGAAGCACAAATTGTATATAATCCCTCCGTATCACTTGGACATGAGCTTCAAAGCCATTCTTTAGAATTATTTGATAAGCAATCTGAACTTTGATTTGATTATTGTGAAGAATATTTTATTTTATGTCTGTTACTCTTGTTTTGGCAATTTTTGATAATGAAGTTGGTTTGAATTCAGTTTGCAGATGAGGCAACAAAACCTTGAGAATAAAGTTCAAGAACTAGAGGACAAATTAAAAATCCTTGATAACCTACCATCCACTCAGTTTATAATTGAACAGGCACAAAAAAATTCAACAAGTGTAACCCAAGATGATGGATCCAATCAAAATGTGCTTTCTGGAATGTGGCAGTTAATGAAATTTAACAGCAGGCTCCAGGCTACAGAAGAAGGTATTGATAGAATAATGACAATTTTGAATGAATTTCTTGGGGGTGATGGAAAAGGAATCAGTAGAGTCAAAGGTGAAGTGGAGGATATTGCCAGTGAACTAAAAAACCTGAAAGAAAGATTTCTTGGTCAAAAGCCATTTGAGGATGATAACCTTGGACAGAGTCTGTCTGCAAGGAAATCCCATGATGCGGAGAACTCTCAGTTACTGCAGCAAAGGATGCATTCTCTTGAAAAACAACTTCAGGATAAATTTGTGACCAAGGATGACTTGTCAGTGTATGTTAAATGGCCTGCCCTACAAGAGGCTTTGAATGTAAAGAAATCAGACTTTGAAAGGAAATCTAAAGAGGAGGATGGTGTTTTAGGAAAGGAACAAGGCTTTATGTTAGGAAATGGGCAGAGCAGTGTTTTGGAAAAGACATTTGATCATCCTGAAAGTGAAAATAAGGCATCAGATACAGAGTCAGATGGGCGTCCACAGAGTGCTCCAGTGCCATCTACCCAGCAGACTCCAGTGCAGACACCTGAGGTCCCTAAGACAGCTTTCACAAGGAGCACACAGGTTTGACTGTAATATGTATGATACATTTTATGTTGGCCTATCAGAATCAATTAAAGCCAATTTTGTTGTTAAGTGAATACTGGTTTGAAAAGCTGATGGTAAGACTAGACTCGAAAAATGTGTTCTTGAAAATTGTTTACATATGTGCATTTGTATACGCTGTACTTGTATGCTACTTTAGTTTTGGTAAAGTTCAACTGTCAAATGAGTGATGGTCATATTATTTCATTCCAGGAAAGAGCTAAACATTTGCCTTACAACATTATTTTCACTAAACCATTTTTCTGATCATCATCATCATTAGGTCAAGCTTGCTTGGTATTCCATGACACACTCCCTCCACCTTTCTCTGTCTTCCATTGCAATTGGTACTTTTTCAATTCTGCATCCTGTGTCATCCATCAATTGGTCGATGTAGGTCTTTTTTGGGGCATCCTCTTGGCTGATGTCCTTGTGTTGGCTTCCAGAGTAATACATCCCCTGCTTGTTCTTCTTTACTGCGCCAACAATTTCCTGCAAATCTCATCCTTTGTTGCTGTAGCAACTTACTGATCTGTTTAAGGCAGTGCGTAGCATTCTAGTGTATGCTCCATCGATTTTCTTTTCCAGATGTGTTGTTAAGGTCCAGGAAACTGAACCGTATACTTATATACTTTCTCTTCAGGTTGTCTGTGAGGTTTGATTTCCATATCTTGTCCAGTTCATTTAGAGCATTCCATGCCTTTCCTAGTCTGATGTTCACATCATGTTCGGTAGAGGCAATGTAGCTTCCCAGGTATTTAAAATCTTCCACTTGCTTTAACTTCTCACCATCGAGACTCTTCATCCTTTCTGACGCATCTTGATTGAAGCAGATGAACTCTGTTTTATCTGCATTGAGGTAGAACCCTATCTCCTTTGCTGTTCTTTCAATGCTGTGCAGCAGGAATGTTGCATCTTTTAGGATGTCAGCCAGCACTGCTAAGTCATCAGCATAGTCTGCATCTGTTATTTTCATAGCTGGGTAACATTTGCTCTTCTGCTTTGTGAGGGTAAAGCCAAGTTCATTGTTCTTGTCTAGAGCTTTACGCAGTACATAGTCAAGACATATAATGAATATGTATGGGGCTAGTGTATCACCTTGGAGGACTCCAGCACTGATATCGAAGAAGTCTGTGTCTCCATCAGGGGAGCAAACCATAGAGCGGGTGTCCTGATACATTATCATGATGGCATCTACTGTTTCCTTGGGTATTCCATAGGCATAATTTTTTTTGTTTATTTTTCTGATACTTGTAGGTAAATATTCAAGAAATGCCCTCCGTAGACCACCCCTCTCAAGAGATGGTTGAATGTCTTAGGCAAATTGGGGAGCTATCTGAAAAACATAGTGTGATAGAGAAAAAAATTACTAATGTCATGGAAGCTCAGGAAGAAATGGCTGGAGAGCTGGCCAAAGTGGAAGAGACTCTGCCACAGAAAATTAGTAAAGAAGATTTAAACATTCCTGAGGACCTGCAAGATCAATTGGCCTTGCTGAAGCAAGGTGTGTGAAATAATCTTATTTTTAGTCAACCATCACCAATTTTTTGATAATCACATTTTAAGAATAGTCATTATAAACACTTTAATAATTTGGTGTTAAAGAATTATTCTCTAAGACATTATCACTTGTCATTATCTCACATCAAATACATTCTAGAATGGATACAGTAACTTCACAGTCAAGTAGCTCTTTCCCACAGCAGTCCTTCACTAAGGTGGTGGAGATATTCTTTCATTTACCATATATGATGTAAAAAATCAATAAATATTAGGAAGTCTGCAAGTCGATTTTTGCGTGGAACAGTGCTCAATACGTTGAAGCAGAGCAGAATAAATATTATGAGAGGAAAAAAGGACGCAACTACATTTCCCGACAAGCCTGTTTCGTGAATCACTTCACTCTTCAGGGGTTTAATGTTTTAGGTTTTTGTAAAAAATCATATATGTTAAATCCTGATGATTATAATTTAATTTGATTTGTTCCTATTTCTTTCTAGCTACATTTAGTAGAGTCAACAAGCAAAAGAAAATTCAAATCAATTAGTTGAAACTATGATTTTATACCTCATTGATTTTTAACATTTGTACATGGTGTTAAGATTTCTCATGTAGATGTCAAAGGACTGACTTACATGTCAGCTGATTTAAATATCATTTCAAAAAGGTTTGGAATTCCTAAACACAAATCAAGATTTGGTAGCACTGGCAGAAATCAAGAAAATGGCTCAGGATAACAAGGAGCGTGTTGAAGCACTTAAGCGTGAACTGGCCATCTTTGCACGGCAGAGCAAACAGCAAACAGCTTTTACAGGAGTGGTCAGCCAATCACCTGTTGTGGACAGCAGTGTTCTTGATGCTCTAAGAGAACATTTAAATGAGCTCCAAAATCAACAGGAAAAACTTGCCATAGCCACCGGTAGGCAACACTCTGAGGTTATAGGAGATCTTTCCAGAAAACAGGTTGGTGTTCTGTATTGAGAGGCAGCTACCCCTAAACCAAGCTTGTAAATAGCAAACTGGTTTTCCTCCTGCCTGAAATCACGTTGCCGCTGATTTGTATTATCTGTCAGTCTGTAAAAATAGTAATATTATGTCACCCCCACAGATCATGATGTTGGTATGAAGGTGTATGCTGTGGGAGTTATTTTAGCCACTTGCAGAGCTATTGAAGCAAAACTCCACACTTAAGAGAACACTCAGCTGTTAATTACTCCCTTTTGATATGAATCCATTCCTGTTTTCTGCAGGAACACATTGAAGCCTTGTACAACTATGTTGAAAAACTCCAAGAGAGCAAAGCGGATAAGGAAAATGTAGCCATGGAAATGGACATTAAGGCTGATAAGGCCTCACTGGACAGTAAAGTGAATATATCAACATTTGATAATACGTTTAGCATGCTCGATGAAGGGCTCAGAGAAGCACTACAGAAAATGGATGATTACATGAATGAAGAAATGGCATTAAAACAAGCACTGAAGCAACTGTCTGTTGATATGTCAGAAAAGATGGATGGCCAAGCTTTCCAGGCACTAAAAAACTACCTGGGTGAGTCGAGGGTTGTACATAATCTTTTTTTCTTCATTTTATTTATATGAGAATCCAGATTCCAGCCCCAGCTTTCTGGAGGCTTATTAGGCATGCAACTTACCCATGCAATACCGCTATCCACCCAACACTAAATAATAATAAATAAATAATAACGAATTTTTATACAGGATTGAAAAACCCATCAGTGTGTAACACTGTTGTCCTTGGGGTCCTGTCAAAAATAATAAATAAATAAATAAAATAAAATTTAACAAGATATAATCATTGATCTTAAGGTCTAGAAAAGCATACAATAAAATGAAAAAAAATAAAAATTAAATAAAAATACTCTGAAAAGGATACCTATAACCACGTTTAGATAGAATTTAACTAAAATAATCTCGCAATTTGTTCTTAAATAGGTAAGAGAACATTGCCACAAAAACTTCTTAGAAAACAAGGGGTAACCTCTAATGGACCCGCAATCCATCCAAGGGTAGTAATGGTCCTCCTTGTCACTGAATGCAACAGCAACTGGGGTAAATTCTGAAGGTGTAGACTACTTCGTACGCTTGAAGATTTGATTAGAAATGTTATCCTTCTGGAGCTACGCCATAAGTGTAAGAATGGTACCAGTGAACTCTAAGGGACACTTGACAAAATACAGAGGGGTAACCTTTGATGGACTAACGTCCCATCAGGATGACCACCAATGTGAATTCCCTGCACATACTTGCACTTGTTGTTTGGTGACTATGAAAAGCGTTGAAGCCCGAATCACACGCTTTGTCGGAAGAAGAAAAAATTGCGTTTTAGATTTCTTGTGCGAGGAAATAAATTATTGTGACAAATGTATCAATTTTTTACTTTAGAACGGCGTATAGCAGATGTACAGAAGTCCAGGAACATGATTGCCGCAGAAGCAAAAGTGGATTTTTCGGACGCAGCTGGCTTCCGCAGACCAATCAAGTTTAACTGTATCTCATGTAGTAGACCTGTGGAACTTCCCCTTAGGGGACCCCTCCGGGCCAACCTGCCGGCCCCCAGAGGGGTTCGGACAAAAAGGTCCAAGGGCCCATATTTGTCCTATGAAATGGACCAGGTGAGGATTGTTGTTTCTGCTTGCTCGTTTGTTTGGTTGGTCGTTGACTGATCGGGAAACTTCGTAAGAAACCCGTCATGGGCTCGTTCCACTAAACACAACTAAGGTTTGAGGAGTCTAGATTGAACGAGTTGTGCAGAAGTATCAGTTACTCGTTTTGGTGCCAAGAAGAGGTATCATATGCAGTTACCCGTCTGGTGCCAAGATTTTAGACTAATGAAAGTTCAACGATAAAGATTTCCATGCATGGGTTATTTTCTTTCCTCAGCCAGAGGAGAAAAACAAAAACAATTAAATTCCCCGCACATACATTTATAGATATAGTGACAAGCATGGTTTTGTTAAATTTGACACAAGATACATGTAACATTGTCCATATCAAAAAAATGTAAGTATCGAATTAACCACGCACCTACCCCTCCCCTAACTCGACAACAGTAAACTGATAACGTTGGGTTAGGGGAGGGGTAAGTGCGCAGTTGCTAAGATACTGACATTGATCCAAAATTCTTGATCAATTTTTTTCTTTCATTGAATGTAAAACTTTCCTTCGCTGTGTGTAGATTCGTCAGTATCAACGTGGTCACTACAGCGGTGGTAAGGCTGAGAGAACGTTGAACGACATCATTTCCGGTCGACCATGCGGCGGGAGCCATACGGTGATGTATTTACCAAAGAGACGGACGAGACCTACCCAGCTGAATCAAGTGTTAGGAGGTTCGTTTACTGTGATGAGTGGATGGTACTAGCGGAATCTGAAGTATCGTTGGGAAAGTGGGACAACAAATATCGTTAACAGACATAAGTTCACTCCCCTTGGACGTGCCTTTCGTTTGGAGAGTTTGAAATATTCGGGGTCAGAGGGAACGAGCTAGGGTTTCCGCTTTGTCTTATGATATGATACATGAAAGAGACACTATTAGCATGTGTTATAACCAAAAAGGAATACATGTGATCTGAAATATTTATCCTCAAGAAATACAGAGTTTTCTCTACACTTGGTGATCGCTGAGGTGCTCCCGAAAATTCTGCTGTCATTTTGGTCAAGACAGGTTCGCGATCTTTTCTTACAACGATTGACATTTAGAACCCTATCCAAACCGTTCAAGTTTGTTTCTTTATTTAGCTCTCTCACAATATCCCATACTTTACTCAGAACTTTATACTTCTGTGGAGTGTGACGTGATCATTAGATTGCAAACCCTTATGTTTTTCAAACTTTTAGGGCATGACGATAATCCAGATATCCCTATCTGGGGGAGAGAAAAATCTGTCATTGACGTACTGAAAGGATCTGATGGACATGTTTATAAAGGCCGGTTTAAACAGGTATGTTATGGAGAGCCACATCGACCCTCTAAAACTTGCAGGATGTATATTAACTTTGTATGTTTTTATTCCTAGACAATCCCACCCATTGGCAAGAACTCCACCTCCCCCCTGCATGAACACGAAGTGACGTCCCTTAATAAGGAGGATTCACAAGTGACGTCATCACACTCCAACTCGGGCCCCAACTCTCCGCGTAATATAGTAATGGGAGAGGTAAGGCAAGCACAGAGCAGCAAATTGAACATCTGACTTAGGATGTCTTTTAGAACTTCACAATGGCTGTGTGGTAGAGATCGAATCTAGTTTTGAATCAATTTTTTAATTTCTCGTTTTAATCTCCTCAACGTATTTTAAGTATGAGAATGTTGTCTAGCTCACACATTTTGCAGTCACGCATTTTCCATTTTGCCACTCAAAAAACTAAACAACTTACATTAACGATAATTCACGTATCTGTAAAACGAAAGAAAGCGGTAAGACTGAAAAAAAAATCTGAAAAACTTCTGAGTGATAAAATAAGTTGATGTCGATTGTGTTGGAATCAGTCTACGAAAACCACGATGATAAAGTCAAGTGTTACTCGTTGTTGTCTTAAATCAATTTTCTTCAAGGATTAGCACGTCGTACTATCGGATGGTTAAAAAAGCGACAATTTTTTCTTGTCGATGATTACATTAATGGTAAAATGTCACCAACTATTTTCTCCAATGATTACGGAGCGCAGATAATTCGGATCATCATATTAAATTTTTTTGACAATGGCTCCCCGACCAACGACCGTGACACAATTTAGCTTGGATGGCTGGAAGTTTTACGCATGCTTTGAAGCGTTGAGCGGCGAAGAGACGGAAGGAAGCGGTCAGTCTTGCATGGCTGCCAGCTTGGTTTTGAGTTAAAACAAACGTCAAATATTTTAAGCAAAAGTATGAAGTGTCTTTGTGCTTTACAGCCTGCAGAAAAACCTCCAAAAGAACAACAAGGCAGTCCACGAGAAACACAGCTGGGGAATCAGTCACGGAGCACTTCACCAAGAACTCGTATGAGACATATTGTGAAACGACACAGCTCCGGCTCACCACCTGCTCCAGTGCCTTCACCTTCTCCCCCAACCGTGCGGGAGACTGAAGCACAGAAAGCTTCACAGAAACAGGAAAGGCAAGGAGAGGTAATTTCCCTTCGCTGCTCCTTTGTATTTCTCATGATTTGGTTTTAATCATTTTTTGGAAATATTTCGGTACTTCCATCACAATGCTGGGCATCTTTAATAGTGCCTAGACAATCCATTCCTCGAAAGATTTTTTGAGCATGTGACGTTTTTGGAAGTATCTGAATTAAAACCACTTTCATTCCATGTCGTAGCTGATTAAGTTCAACCCTTGATTTGAGTCAACACTACAAAGCTTGCGATGGATAAAATGGTGTTATTGCAGCATGTTTGCTTTGTGCGTATATTAAAATGTTCTCATTCGTGCACCACAGGACGCCCAGTCAAAGTTATTTACGCCAGCTGTTCCAAGGCCATCCCCCGACGGAGCCAGAGAAAACGACGACGGAGATCCGGGTGGAACCAGAAATGTTACGGTAGGATTCAGTGATGACGTCTAGTAAACATCTTTTTGATTGTATTGATGGACATTATATTCCTTACTATTCTTAAGGAACCTCAGATGCTGCCTCCCCGCCCGGAACATGAAGGTGGATTCACAACAAGCAACGAGTAACTGATCGAAACTGGGAGAAGACCATAAGAGAGATTCAAATTGTTTTACTTTACATTTATATAGTATATTCCAGAGTCTTGTATACATCGTGTATTCCTGGAGTTACTGACTGATTATATAGTACAGTTAAGAAAATCATCCTGAAGACAAAGATATTGTATTGATACGAGAACAGTTATTTTACTCCAGAGTCTTTCATAATCGGTGGCTAGATTTAAACAGAGTTTGTACCAAGACAAGCATTCTAAAAATAGTATGGACATTTTTTAACTAGCTTTAAATACTGAAAGAAATTATGGGATATGGAGTTGAAGTTTTGGAAAAATTGAAAGAAGCACTTAACAACTGTTTTTCTGCTCGAGCCATGTTGTACTATTGATAAACCCGAGAATGTCTTAGGCGTAGTCTAGGAAATAGTATTGAACTTTGTTTATAAAGGGTGCTTAAACCCTGGAGAAGTTCCTTATGAGTTGAAAAGTTGATTGGGAAAGATGTTATATAATGTTTCAAGTGTTCAGTCGGTAAACCGCGGCGCAGAGCAGCAGAGGATAGGGGTGGACTCAGGCAGCATCATCAGCTGCCTCCTCCTCCCCCTCCCCCCCTCCACTTTTTCCCCCCTGGTTTTATTGCAAGGCAATCTGATGCAATTGCGCTGCTGGTTATTGACTGCAACCTTAGAACAAATTCAATGATACATTGACATTATGCAAATACCATAGAAATTATTTATCATTCTTACTATTAGTACTATGATTTTGAGGGCTGGCCCGTTTGATTTATTATAGAGGTTGTTCATATCATCTTAAAAGAATGGTCTTAACCATAATGAGAGTGTTATTTATTATCTGATAGTCATTCCCTTTTGAGAGAAGGATTGATGGATTTTTCCTAATATTCACAAAGGAAGTGAAAAATAGAGGTATAATTGGCCGTGTTACAGGAGGAAAGGAGTTTGTTGACTTGAGTAGATGAGAATCTTTGAAAGTCGTACTAAATATTAAGCGCAAGGTGTAAATTTGTTTGATCAGTTGTATTGTATTTCCCTCAAGGTTGTGAAAACGTTATGCGTAAACTCCAACCTGTAACTTTGGCCAATAAAGATATGCTGATATGCAGCTCTTGAGCACTTCACTTCTCTCTAATTTCTTCTAAATAATTTATTTCAAAGCGGTTAGTATGTATTTTTTAGTTAAAACTCTACTAAGTCAACCAAGAACATCCTTTCAATGAAAAATCTTGCAAGTTAGATCGGCTTGGATCGAACAGGCTAGTTCACCCCATCAACCTCTCTCCCAGGCTGAAGACGGCAGGAGAGGAGACACCCTGGAAACGAGTTTGTCTCGTTGTCAAGGTAGTGACGAACCTTGTCGGAAGTATCTTTCCGAGAAACTCTTTGTGATATGAAAGAAACAATTCTGAGAATTTTCTTCCACTTCCTAAATGCTCCAGTTTCCCAGAATCTCGGACGATGACGTCAAGTGCAATGATTTGACTCCTTAAAGGGAGACGCTAGGGTGACAAAGCACACTGAGAAGGAGGAACTACATTTCCCGTCACTGAAATCAGACAGTAGTGTCCCCAGAAGCGCCATGGCGGAAGCAAGTGCGAGTTCTCCCACTAATTCAGGGAAAATAGCTCTAGATCATGGCAAATTTTTTAAATACGAGTCTATACGCATCGAGTGGACCAAACACTTTGAGAATCATTACTTTGATGAAGTTCATGTGGTGAAAGGATTCTTCAAAACATTCCACCGCACTCACAAACGATTTCAGTTTGTAGTCGCAGAGCTCTTCGATGAGACAACTCATCTTGTAGTTCGCGCTGATGACTACCGAGGGATCAAAGAAGAATTGGAGCGGAGAACGAAGAAAAGTCTGCCTGAAGTTAGCCATGTCTCGGGCGTGAAGATTATGGAAGATAGAAAGTCTTTCCTTGACTTTGAGTCACACCGAGAGTTTTCCATGTCCCTGAAAAATGAGAATGACAAAATAAGACAGAGGTATGTGCTGTTAAATCGAATATCTACCTCGAATATCTGCCGTCCAAACTTAATTTCATGAATTTCAAAGACTTACTCATCGCTGATTGCATAAATTCTAATTTTTAGTTGAATATTTAATATTAAGATCGTGTACTTAAACTCCTTCGTTCTTAACGGTAAATCGCGCCTAATCGATTACTCGAAACTCTTATAATATAAATCGTAAAATCTTTTTGTGGCGATATTTTCATTATTGACCTTCACCGAAAAAAAAAATCTTCCCTTTGTTTACATCTCTAAATCAATTTCGCCTGTGCCTTTCGAAGAAAACCGCTCTGGAAGTTCTGCTATCTTTTCCTAGAAAGAGCAAGATATTTAACGAGCTATCTCGTTCAAGTCACGCAACTTTCGTAACCATCTTGGACGAAATTTCAATCCGGAAGAAACGAACAATTCGTACCTGGTTATTGAATAGATCCAAGAGAATATAAACGATTTATAATATTTTGATAGATCGTATACATTGGTCGATGAACAAAATATATTTTCAAATTCACATCCCGGCACGGTTCGGTGAGTTTCTCAGAAAATACCCGGAGGTGATTGCGTGAATTGTAATCGATTCCCTCGAATGATTTGAATGAGATTTGAAAGACAAACATGTTTGCCCATATTAAACGCGAAATGTTTTTATCCAAAGGCTCGTGTTTTCTAATCGATGACTGTTAACATGATATTAAATATTTAAAGGTAAGACTTCAAATCAATGGAAAAAAAAGAATACTCTACAAAAACATCAAGGGCAAATTGTTGTTTGGAAGAGGTAGATCGCTTACCGTCGTGACCAATGAGCACGGCACGAGAGTGCATGCACGGGCCTAGAAGCAGCGCATAACAATCAAATAAGTGGAATTACATTCATTGATAAACCGAAAAATAAAAAACTCTGATATTGAAGTAAAGCTCAAATTCAATATGATTTCCAAAGTTAAAAAAAAACGGCAGAAATCGATCGTAAGTTTTCCCTGACTCGTTGTTGCTTGACGCCTATTAGTTCATCAAATGAGTAGATAAATACATGGATAATACCTCCTCTATCGCTGCGTTTTTTTTGTTTTTTTTTTCATATTTAGGAGGAAAGAAGAAGCGAAGAAACACGCAGGTATATTCCGTGACTCACTGAAAAGCAAGCCTTGCCCACGCGTTTTGGCGTTTGATGTGGAAACCTATGAACACGATAAAGTTACCGTCCTCGAAGTTGGCTACGTCATCGCACAAATTGACAAGCCGGAAGAGCAGGAAGCGTTCCATTACATCATCGAGGAGAATCTCCACTATTCAAACAAAGACTACGTCCCTGACAACCGCGAGCGATTCAAATTTGGTTCCTCAAAGCGCATGTCTCTTGTGGAGGCCGCAGAGAAGTTCCAGCAGCATATCGCCGACGTAGAGTTTTTGGTGACCCACGCTGGCCATAATGATGAACAGTACCTTGCGGGGTGTGGCATCTCTTTAGAAGGAAGGCAGATATTTGATACACAGATGCTGGCCTCGGCTTTGATGACCGGTGGTCCTCAGACTTACAGCCTCAAACGATTGCTTGGTGACTTGGCCATCGAGTATGACGAGGATATTTTACATAACGCAGGGAATGATGCAGTGTACACACTGAAGGCGTTCCTCAGTCTCAGCAAGAAGATTTAGCCTTCAAACTTTTCCAGCTTATGTACAATTTAGTATTGTACGTTGAACTATGCAGCGAACCGATTTTAAATTTGAGTTAGAAAATATTGCATCAAATTTTAAACGGAAATGTATACAGCTACACTGAATTAGTATGACTAAGCAGGATCTTACTCCTTCCCAAATACTTTGCTTAGCATTCCTAGAGGTCAGATCTACCCAGAACTTTCAAAACATGCACATGTGGATGGATCTCGATCGGAAATGCAGGCATTTCAAAACTTTGCATCAAGTAAATTTTATTCGCACATTGGATATTTGCACATGCTGATTGCATTTCGATAACAAATCGGGCTTCACCGAACTAGTCTTGACGTTACAAGCCCAATTTTTAGGAAATTGTAGTTTTACTTTTAAAACATACTCAGACTTTGGGAAAATATTCGATGCTTTCATTTTCCAGAAAGCAACGAACAAGGTTATTAGTTTCATAGGTAACTACTGCGCTGCTTCGTAGGCAAGTGAAAAAGTTGGTTGTCAGCTATTCAACGATTACAAGGTAAAAACAGAGTTACCTTATCACAGAGCCTGGTTTTGGCCTTTGCAGATGTGCCCGTAGAGAAACACCAAAATTGATTCGTTTGCGCATGCCCTGCGTTTGACCGCTGTATTACTTCATAACGAGGGACAAACCTCGGTCATTAATCAAGACAAATGATCGCGACAAATAATCGCGACGTGCACGTGGTTACGTGGATCAACAGCTGGTAGGCGATCGTTTAACTTTCGTTCACTACCGTAGAGTTCCGATAGTAGCGACCCTCATTACTTTCGAAATCAGCAGCCTTTGGGGGTCGCTACTTTCGGGAGGTCGTTACTTTCGGAGAACAAAAATCGTTTACAAATAGAGCTGGCGCGAGCTTTTTTTTCTTTCGAAGTAAAAAAAGAACAACATTTTTTTGCATTCCATATGTATAGATTGTGTTTCGTAAATAGAAGGTAACAATGATAAATACAGCAATACGGTAATAAAATTGATCGATATCAACACCAATAAACAAATAAGACAAAATTCGTCTATCCAGTTTCATGTTTTAACTGCGACATGGGTGAGCTCCGGATGTCTTCCTAGATTGTATTGTCAGTGGTCGGGACGAGTTGTATCAGTTTGTCTCTCAGTTCTTTTGTTAGACTTCTGAGTCCTTTTTTGACGTCAATTTCATAAATGTAAGGAATCTCGATGCCTCCTCCTTGAATCCACCATTAGGCACACCTGCTGATGACAGCAAGATGACAGCAAGTCATCTTGATTTCCTTTTCCAGCAATGGCGTTTACATGACCTCCGATAGACTATCAGGCATGTGTCCAACTGTAGTTGCATCTTGTTCGCCACCGTTTATGTTTTTCATCTTCACCACTATTGCGTTATGTGATTATGCGTTGGAACACTCGGGAATGCAGTTGCAGAATTTATTAATTCGCGGATTAGACCGGTAGCAGGGACAGTGAAATGAATATCGATGGTTTACCGGACTACCGCATGGGTGAATCAGCCGATATAGAGGAGATCGAGTTCTGACTCAGAGGAGGAAAGCTAAACTGTTTCGATCGTACTGCATGACGCACCGCTGCGTTTTAGTCTGTACCCCGTACCGGTATCTCAGTGTCATGTAATTGGAAGAAAAACGTTCATGTTAATCAACGAAAACTATATAGAGTTTTCAATTTCAATTTGAAGAAACGTTCCTGTTGTTAATACGAAATTATACCGGTTTAGTTCTTACATCGCTACATCAGTGAACTGAGGTCAAGGACGAATGGTGGCATAAAGCTTCCCCTTGTTGTAAATTAAAGTGTCTTATCGTGAACAATTTGTGACATTGCACGAACATATTATTGTAAAATAAAATTTTGACTATTGGTATACGGTATGCAATTTAAAAAACTTGGTTTCGCTACTTTCGAGGGAGGACCCACTTTCTGGAAGTCGCTACTTTCGGGATTTACTAGCGGCCACAAAAAATTGACGTTAATTTCGGGGGGGGGGCCGTTACTTACGTTACTATCGGAACTTTACGGTATATAAAAAGGGTTGTTTACTGAGGAGATTTTACGCCCTCTCGGCATAGAAAAACTGAGGAAACTGATAAATGTCTTAAATATGATTATAGGTGTCATATTTCCCTAGTACAGAACTCCTTTCGGCCAAATTTGATATAGAAGGAACCGCTTTCCTCCTGCTAATAACCATTGATTAAAACTGAAAACATGATGGCAAAGAATGACGGCTCTTGAAACGTCACAATTCAGGCCCGCTATGAGTGTGTTCATTGGTGGTTATAGATATCAAGGGCTTGATTGGTTGATTTTATTAATGACAGCCAGTATATTGGCTAGGATAAGCATACCTTTTATGGGTATTTCAGTCGGCTATTCAGTTCGGAAAAGCCATACTTGTGTATATTCCTTACATCATTTTCTCCAGCCATGGCCAGCAGAAACGAAAAATCACCCGGCGACAGAAGGTACGGTCGTTATTACAAGTACGAATCTATTCGCTTTGAGTGGAGAAAGTTCTTCGAAGAGAACCACCCCCGACAAAGGTACATGGCAGAAGATTTCTTCAAGAACTTCTTTCGCAATCACCGTGGTTTTCAGTTCGTAATAGCCGAAATTTTTGACGGGACAACTCATCCTCTTGTGTCCGCGGAGAAATTTGCTGACTTGAAAAATGAACTGGAGAGGAAAACCGGTCAGAGTTTGCCAGAAGTGTCTAACACCTCCGACGTAAAGGTAAAGGAGGAACGACGATCCTTTTCTGATTTGCACACCTACATCAATTTTTCCAAGTCCCTCAAAGCAGCGAATGACCAAATTAAAGTCAGGTAAGCGGTGTTAATGTAAGTTAGTACAAAATAACCGCGACTAATGCGTATTTTTGCCTGTGTATTTCTTGTAAATTAACCAATTCCACCGATCACCTTGAAGTTCGTACCGAAATTTGACAAAACAGCTCAAATGAGTGGGTAAGAAGACTCGGCAAAACTATGAAAACATACGTAACCAGATTTTTCATCACGCACCTCCTTTTGACTCGAGTGAACATTGGTCGGTTGGTCCTTTTTTACTTCTGTTGCTTTGCTTTGTGCTTGATTTATTCTTTTCAACAAATAGAGTCATGAAGTTCGAGTATTCGTCGTTTTGAATCACATGATTTACAGTCTCGCTACCTTCCGCTTGCCAGGGATCGTGAAAGCTTTCGAGATGAAACACATTTGTGCACTAGTTCCCTAACTGATAATATCGTCAGCAGCGACTTCTCTACATTCTAAAAACTTCTAAAAACATTCTACATTCTAAAAACTTTGCCAAGTTTCTTCTTAGTTGGTATTTTAGTTCTTTTGGTCGACAAATTTGGTAATGTTTTTTAGAAAGTGCTGTTTGGGCAAGAACAGAATATGATTACATAAGTCGCAAATATATACGGTAGGCCTTTTTTCTTGGAACTATACATGTAAATCACTCACCAAATTTTAAAGATATATGTTGATTATGAAAAATCATCACGGTCGAAAGCGTATTTCCATTTGATGTTGGTGTTTCTGGGAAAGCTTCATCGTCACAATTTTCCTAGAAAGTGGCATTGGTTAATTGACCTCCCACAGACAGGTTTGAATTAAGATAAATTTCGCCAAATGTTTCCTCAACAAACAGTTTGGGTCATTGTCGCATCATATTTTGAGTCACTTAGTGTTACAGAAAGATGCCTTTGAATGAAAAGAATCCTCGACTTAATATCTTTTTTAAGTATTCAAACATAAAGGAATGAACCGGTGAGAGTTGGGGTAAGCGATGGCGGAAATTGATACGTGCATTAATATTGTTGTTTAAAGACGAACTTGTCCGGTCATAATTCTAGAATTCACTGTGAAGCGATCCCTCGCGTGATGTTGATTCGACTTCGGAAGCAACCTGTCGCTCTACTCCTGATTGGGAATAGTGGATTTCCACTTAGCGAAATGAAGTTCATATTCTAGCGTTTTAAAGCAAGTCATGTGATGGAACTAATAAACAGTGATATTTGCAGACTTTCTTATTTTGATACCAGTCATCAAAATAAATAAATTGTCTTTCATCATTGTCTCGTTGCAGGAGAAGGAAAGATGCAGAGGAAAGTGTCAGGGAACTCCGTACTTTTCTGCAAAGGAAACCTAATGCTCGGGCAATGGCGATTGACATCGAAACATATGAAAACGACCACAGCAAAATTCTCGAAATTGGCTCCTTCACCACTTCCCTAGCCAGTCCTGAGGGGAATGAGCAAGCTCATCATGTTATCATTACAGAGAACCTCCATATGGTGAACAAGGATTACGTTTCTGACAACCGAGACAAGTTCAGATTTGGCACCTCACAGCACATGTCCCTTGCAGAGGCCGCTGGAAAGTTCTCACAGTATATCAGTGATGCAGATATACTGGTGACTCACTCGGGCGGAGGTGATGAGTTTTACCTTGCCAAAAACGGCATGTCTTTGGAAGGGAAACCAATGTTCGACACGCAGCTGCTTGGTTTGGCACTGCTGACCGACGAGAAAAACTTGAGCGTGTTTGGTCTGAAGCGGCTGATGGGGGACCTGGGTATCTCGTATGACGAGGATATTCTCCATAACGCTGGGAACGACTCCTACTACACCATGAAGGTGTTCCTGGCCTTGAAGAAGAAACTGTGATGAGGATTCCAGGAGCGAAGTGAGTCTCAGACCGTTGGTAGTTTTAAATTGATCAAGAAAAAACGGCAAAGAATCAAAATGAATTTTCAAATTATATATGTTGCATCATAATACAGCTTGACAGAAGCATTTAACCTTAAGCTACGATAGATCAGAAAATTACCTTCACTAATTTTTTCTTCAATATGATTTAAATGGCACTTTCAATTGATCAAGAAAAAACAGCAAAGAAAAAAATGAATTTTCAAATTATATATGTGGCATGATAATGCAGCATAACTGAAATATTTGACCTTAAGTTACGATCGATCAGAAAATTATCTTCACTAATTTTCTTTTTTCTTCGATTATTTCAATTAATGACAGTAGTGTAATAGTCTGATCGGTCTTTGTTATTTGATAAACAATGCGACCACCATTGAAACAGGAAAAAGAAGTTACCCAAGGGAGGTGGTCTTTTAGAAGAAAGTTATTTAAAAGAAGATCCATCAATTACTGCTACAGTTATCTCTTCATTTAAGGCACAAGGGGTCAGAAAAGGAGCAGCTGACCGTTAATTTTGCGTTTTGAAGACACTTATGATTAAAAGAACACTTGAAATACATGATTCTTATCATGTGTCACTTTATTCATCATAATATAGCTGACAATGACTCTGCATTTGACATCAATTGATAAGCTGATTATATCTTGTTTACCGCTTTACTTCAAGCATGTGTTGGGAAAGAAATTGATCACATAATTATAATTAATAAAACTGAGCATTTTACTGAATATTATACATTTACCTGTCTTCTGGGAGGAATAAAAGACTTATATGATCTTAAGATGGCCTACAGGTAATTGGCACTGTTCCTCATTGTGGCTCTAGTGCAGGACATGACTTTGACAGCTCTCTGAGCAACATTTAAATATTTCATTTTGTATACATGAGGTAACCCATGGTTAAATTTCGTGGTGGGCCTTGGTTTTACATTTAGGGGAGGGGGTAGAGTAAACAAACTATATTATATGCAGTTGGGGGTTATGTAAGATCACCTTTTTTACACAGATGGGTGAGGAGGTCACATCCATACTTAGTCCCCACCCCCCACTTTAAAAACCAACAATTAACCAGTGCAGAAACAGAACAAGTACTTACTTTACATACATTGAAGGTGTTCAAAATTCTTGTTCTAGGATTTCTCATTTTAGAAACCTTCACATAAAAACAAAAGCAGAAAACAATGAACAAACAGAAATTACTGAAAGGGTTTGATATTTTATTATCAGTTTTCTTTACAAGCACATTTTCAGAATGTATTATACAGGACCACAAACGATGATATATGAAGAATAAGATGGCAAAGGAAAACATCCACACTATCCAAGAATTATTCATAGCCTCTGCAAATAAAATTTAAAATGTACACATTAGTATAAGGAGAATATTCATTTTAACACCAGTCATTATAGATAAAAAAATTAGTGTCCACAATTAAAAATTGTTGAAACTCACTTGACCATTGGAGCAATTTCCCAATTGGTTTGTGCACTGGTTGCTGGTTCAATCACAACACCATCACTTGTAATGACTGCAATTTCATACTGTAATCAAACAAACATCCATTGTTAACTGCTTTGACTTTGGACACAAACGAAAAGTGACACCTTGTAGATTCAACATTGTACAAAAAGTAATACAAACCTTGTTTAGTGACCTGGCATCTCTGTAAAACAACACCTGCAGACATTTAGTGATCACTTGCCTAGCCTCCTCTAGAGACATGCTGGGATCTTTTTCAAATGCATCACGGAGAATTGGCTGAAATCAGAAACAAGAATATTCAAAACTTAAATCTGACAAAAAAGTTTCCTCAACCATTGAAATTGGCTGGCCTTGCACTAGCAGTTACAAATAAGTGCAGGAAAATTCCATATTCAACGTGTGCATTCCTTTTTCACACCTCCCAGTTGGCTTAGAGGAATTTCTTTATGATGGAACAAGTAAATTTAGAGGAGGACTTTTATAGACCCCAAGTGAAAAGGAAACAAACAAGGAGAAAAACAGAAATCTTTGGAATTGACACCAGACTGCAATGCCATACCCTGGCCAAAAAGAGGTATAGTTTGTTGATAACAATTTGAATTTTACACAAGGTACTTTAGTAATACTACATAACTATATAAACTTAAAACATGGTGGTATATAACATAATCTGAAGCTTAAAGTCCTCCAACAGGAAAACAATTCATCAGACAATGACATACATGTAGACTTTATCACTGACTGCATTGCTTTAGGCTTGTTATGAAACAAATCTCAAAAAAGAAAATGCAATCGCATTCCTCCACAGGAAGACAAACCTAAAATTTGCCTCATTCCCAACATGTGGCTTGGTAGCTCAGTTGGTAGTATCATCCAACTAGTACTTGGGAGACCTGGGTTCAAATCGTGTCATAGCCTGAATTTTTTTAAGCTTCTTTTCTGCAATTGCTACAACTGCAGCACACCTTTAACATTTAAACATATAGTTGTGAGGCACAAGGAATGTGGTAGTACCCCTCTATACATGAGTTATTATTGCTTATTATCATTATTATTTATCTGCTAACTGGTGGCCAATCAATGTTTCAAATCAAGAATAGGCCATTTTACAGTTGTGTAGTTGCCCAGCCTTTGATTTGGAGTGAGGCTGAAGGTGACCCTAACCCTAACCCCAGAGACCAGTATCTAGCATGATAACAAAGTAATTTAAATTTGAAAAGCAGCAAGGTTTGTATCATAACAAGGTCACCCTTAGCCTCACTCCTGTTCATAGGCTTGGCAAGCAACCAAACAAGAAATGCAATACATGTATTTCTCACCTGGGCAAGATATGCACCAAACCCAGTGGCTATTGTGGGTGCTTCAAAAGCTATGCCAATCTTGTCAACACATCCCAGGAAACTGTTGACCACACAAGAAAAACAATATAGGTCACCAGAGTGCTTATTCAAACACCCTGACAGTGAAGTACTTAGTCCAGCTGCCATGTTAAACTTTTTAATGTTACCAAGCAACAAAAAGCATTGTGGATTAACTTTGAGTAGGTTTGTTTCTTGTTCACACTGTATCCCAACCCATGAAAGGGGTAGAACATAAATTGTTGGATTTACTTCTTTCATGCCACCCAAAAGATAACACCCAGCAAAGATAGATGCAAAGTTATCAGTAGGCATTCCCCTCAATTGTATGCCCCATCCAACCAGAAGAATGCTGCATTTACTTGAAGCTTGAAAGAAAAAAAATAATGAATTGCATATAATTCAGGAAAGTATACCATGCTCAAAAATAAAGGGAAAGATTTCAACTAAAAGCACATTTCTACTCTACTTGATACTTAAAGATACACTTTACCCCAATTGTTGTCAGTGATTTAAGAAATAAGAGTTTGAAATAAATGCCTCTTTCAAATAAACACTGCCATCAAATAAAACTTAAAGAAAATTTGAACTGGGAGTTAAAGCGTTAAAGGAAAACTGAGATAAATCAATGACTCTATAGGTTTCCTTTCATTACTAATGCTCTGAAGGGAGGTTTATTTCTATATACTCTAGGGAGCCACATTGATAAGGATGGTATTCAAACAGTGGTTCTTGTTGCAATGAATCATCATGGATGAAAACGCTCTAAATTCTTACGTATACAAATGTTCCTATAGTATGCGATTTGATATGTTGAGACACATCTTCTGACAGACAGCTACAGCAGCAAAGATAACTTGATTTATTTATCAACAGGCTCACCTTTCACCATTGTGGACACCACCAACAACAACTTGATTCCACAGGGGATCAAAACGTGTGCGCCTATATAAAAAAAAACAACAACAACAAAGACACCAAGATGTAAACTTGTGACTGCAGGAAGTAACTTCGGGGATTAATCTTCCAAAGTATGTGTTTTCTCACACAATTATCCCAGAAATGTCATTTAAAGAGTACGAAATACCTGTAATACATTATTCTTGTTAACCAAGAATATATGGACTTTGGAGTGTAACCATGGCCATCATTTAAACAGGCATCATCAATACTGAAAAAACAACAAAGAAATGCTCAGCTCTCTTATTGTGCAATCAAGAAAAAGGATTAAATCATTTCGCAATTACAATGTGTAGTTCCAGAAAATATCCATACCCCCACCACAGAGGGAATTTCATATAGGACCCCCCCACCCCTTCGGATTTTCCATTTTGGGGTAGCAGTGGTGGCCCCCCCACCCCTCTGGAATTTCCAAATAATTTTCTACCACCCCCTATACCCCCTGGAAATATATTTTTTTCTCATAGCAAACAACAAACAAGAGGGAATGATGTTCTCGCGTGTATATTCGAGAGATGGCGTACACGCGCAAGGTAAATGTTGCTAACTAGCTTAAACTTAACGTTTGCTTTATTTTTAAATACAATACTTATCCTTAAACATTTAACACAGTATTTTCAGTACACGAAAGGAGAAAAAAACTGTACAAGTCGCAACAAAACACTTTTGAACTGTTAAGTTTGTACAATGTACTGAGAAAATTGCGTGCACTTGAAATGGAAACGTTCGAAATCACATTAAGCAACGTAAATTTGTACAAAATTGTGTCAAAAAAAAGACAAAATCAACCGAGTCAGCAGTAAGTTATTTTGAACTCATCTTTCCAAATTCCAGCCTCTAATGTAAAATTTCTTCACACAAGCATTGATTCTTGTTAACAGCGGGTCGATAATTTCGTCCGATTGTGCATAAACAAAGCTTGGCTAGTTACCAGTCCCACGCGCATATATACAAAGCCCTGGATCCTAATGTTTCTCAATTTTACTATCAACTGTTTTCGACTACGGTACAACTGTACTTATCATTCATTGTAACATCGCAAGCAAGTAAGCCATAAAGAAATCATCAAGTCTCCTACACATTATGATGCAACAGAATTAAGCTCAGTGCAGATCAAAATTAAGAGATGGCTGGAGTCAATAAGGGGTAGCAAGTGGTAAATTTATGCGAAACTTTGCGAGACGACGAGACCAGCGTTTTTTTTTTTTTTGCGAGACCGAAACTTTTTGAGTGTTTTAATTGCGAGACCAATGTTAAGACACCAAAACGGCTTTGCAAACAATTCGAGACTGTGAGACGTTTTGAGTCTTTTGAACCGCTCAAAAAACGAGACTGCAGGATTGATCTGTGAGATTTAACTTAAATTTTAAAAAAACAGCATCAGACAGTTATTTGTAAATTTTACGAACACGAAACGTGTTATGACCGAGGAAAATTCCTAGGTAACCACTCCTGTTAGTTGTAATCTTTGGAGACAGGTAACGAGTAATGGCGGCTCCATTCGAAAAACAAAGTGGTTCTCTTCTTTATTTGATGTTATTTATGTTCCAAAGCGCTACAAGGATAAAAGAAAACTTTCTTTGGCTGCAGAACTGTTAGAAGCTTCGTAATTTAACAGCTTAAACTTCAGAACGTCCCACTAAAGTAGGTAAGTGGCGCCAATTGACATACGAAGAAAGTCGATCGACTTCCTACCCATGGACGAAAATTTAAACAGGCATCCCCTCTGGAAAAACCTGGGAAATGCTCAGCTCTCTTATTTGCAATCTGTGGTGGGGGTATGAATCATTTTGCAATTACAATGTAAGAGAATTATTCATTTCTCAACAACAGCTCAACTGATGAATCACAATTGGTGGTTGTCAAATACAGAGAGTAAATAGTGACTCTCTCTCATTGTTTGATAATCTGGATGGAAAAAGATATGTAAAAACTTAAGAGGCCTTTAATCAATAGCCATAAGAAGGGTTCAAGAAGATATCTAAATCAATACCTCTTACCAACCAAGTTTGAGGACTGTATTCTAAGTTATTGACCAAGGTTTTTTCCACTTAGATTTACGGCCCCAGTGAGAAATGTGTGGGCCATAATTCTGAGCATGAAAAGTGAGGTTCCGTAAAATGTTTATAACATCCATGGGTTCAAATAGAGGAGGAAGATTTCAATTCAATAAAACAATTTATTTTAGCAGGCTGCACAATGAAAATACAGCTCCTTAAATTGACCAATCATAGTGCAAATCCTAACTGAGAGATATAATAAATTGACCAATCACAGTGAACATTCTAACTGAGAAATACAATAAATTGATCAATAATAGTGCACATTCTAACTGAGATATAATAAATTGACCAATCATAGTGCACATTCTAACTGAGAAATAGAATAAATTGACCAATAATAGTGCACATTCTAACTGAGAGATAAAATAAATTGACCAATCATAATGCACATTCTAAACAAGAGATATAATAAATTAACCAATCATAGTGCACTTTCCAACTGAGAGATATAATAAATTGACCAATCATAGTGCACATTCTAACTGAGAGATATAATAAAATGACCAATCATGGTGTACATTCTAACTGAGATTCTAACTGTATCTCTTTATTTATAAATTCATAGCTTCTCTAGATACCATCAATGTGATACTAATAGAGACTTACACTTTCTGATCCAGAAGAGATTTCAGATGCTGAAAATCAGCATAATCCCCAGAACCACCAACAACTGTGTTATTGCCAACAGCAGTGAGTCTTGAGACCTCTCGGAATCTTGCAAGAGATCCATAGGATCCTTCAAGCACACAATATTATCAGCATTATAATTTAAAGTATTTTATTACAAGAAAATACTTGTATAGTAGTAAAAATGGAATAACCTCAAGACATTGATGAATGAAATATTGTATGTAAATAGTAAGCAAGTAAATAAATAAAAATAATGATGAAGGAGGTACATCCCTGCAGAACCTGTGGTGCTGCATTGGTGGGATGTGATACAAGATAATTTGATTTCATCAACTGAGTTGATCATGTAAATTGACCACCATAGCAAGTCTTAAAGTCTGACATTATTAGTGTCAGCCCTTTATCAGAGAGAGTTTTTTTTTTTTTTAAGGAAGGCTGATACCGTAAAAACCCGCAGATAAGCCGCACCTGTAGATAAGCTGCAACCGCAGATAAGCCACACCCTGAATTTAGCAGCTCAAATTTTGGAAAAAAAGTTTTTTGAAAGAAATCAAAAGAAATCCAAAGTCTAAAGGCATCAGATCAGACGCAAAAATTTCAACATACACAACACCATTTTCAAATGTTCCAGCAGATAAGCCGCACCCCCAATTCTAGTGATGATTTTTTGAAAAAAGGTGCAGCTTATCTGCAGGTTTTTACGGTACTTGAAACATCAGCTTCAGAAACTCTCTACCAAGGTCAATTCACATTATCAACTCAGTTGATAAAACCTAAATAAATAAATAAGATTTCAAAATCAGTGTAATATAACCAACCTAATGTGTCTGCTGCCATAAGAATTCCACCATCAAACTTCACACCAAGCACAGAGGTACCAGTTGTGGTGGGGTATCTGACAAAAGAATAATTGTGACAAATATCATAATATGAAGAACATTTTACAGTATGAAAAATGCTACAATCATGAAGGTACTACATGATGCCTAAATTGACGTGGCGCACCGAATCATATTGATGGGCAATGCAAAATTATTTGGGCTAAGGAAAATTATTCTACTGACCACTTAGAGAGTTACTGTTGCTATTCAGAAACACCTGTGCGTCCCCAAGAGTGTAGATCCCACTGAAAAATTTAATTATTTTTGTGTAACGGTATTTTTAGTTTTTGAATAGGTCCCATTAAAGAAGCATATGAATAAGTCCTGAACAACATCATCATTGTGTTTTTTATATAATCACGCTAGCTCATCTACAAAATTTACCGCTTTGGTCTAATCCTTTATCAATCTAATGTTTGACGCAATGAAAAAATTATACGCCAATTAATATCAAGAAAAACTGATGCCTTTGAACCAGTTTAAACTTATTCATCAAAAACTAAAACCTCTTGTAAAGCACATGAACCTCTGTCGAGCAAAATTGTCACTAACTACTATATAACCAGATGTTTACTCACAAAGTTCTCTTAGCCGGTGAAAATTTTTCAGCAGTTCTAGAACTACTTGGATTGCCGGGAAAGTTATAGAAAGCGCCTGGTGATGGTCCATTACTCCAAAACTGATCTTGAAATCCAGGAACATTCATTGCGGCCATGTTTCTCTTCTTTTTGCCTGAGTCATTCCCAGCATGCAATATAGTAATAAGGGGTTTTCTACCGGGGTGGGTTTAGTGTTTCTGCAAGCTGTTAAATGTAAGATTCAGAAGGAAAATACTGAATTTTTAGGCATCATATGAGCTAATTAATTCATGCTTAAGAATTTTGTGAGGGAAAGTATGCTATCGAGAAATTTTCGACAATTTTTGAGTGTCTCTTTTCACCTTTCTACTTACCCCTCCCTTCATCTCTCTGATTTGTACATTTTTCACCGCTGATTAGTGCAGGCGCAAGTACACTCGTCTCTGTTCAAAATGGCGGACAAAGTGGAGAGTCTCATCGTGGGCAGAGAAACCCGGCGAAATGCTGGAAACTTAATGTCTAAACTGATAGCAGATGAGCAAGAAGTTGATGATTTTTATAAAACAGCTTTTGGAGGTTTCGAAGAAGAATCTGGGGATGAGAAATATTCAACAGAGGAAGAAGAAGCGGACGTTGTAGACTCCGACTTTAGCGTCTCTGAGACAGATGAAGTGATAGATGATCAGGGAGATGACGAACCGGTAAAAAAGCGAAAAAAGCAGTTCATAAAGCCGTATAAAGCTCCGAAGAAAGACCCTGCACCTTCGAAAGCTACTAATAAGGAACCAGAAGTGAAAAAACGGAAAAGTTTCGAGGACGCTCCACGAGAAGGTGTGAGAAAATCAACCAGGGCGCTTACAGTTGAACGCGCTGAGGCAACGAAGAATCGTTTCAAACTTGAGAAGGAGAAAAAGAATTTGCTTAAAAAGAAGCAACCGAAAAAGTTTCTCGACATGAGGCGCCTTACTCAAGAAGAACTTTTAGCAGAAGCGAAAATAACGGAAGAGGAGAACGTGGCTTCACTGCAAGCTTATCAACAACTAGAGGCCGATAAAAAGAAAACAAAAATCCAGAAGGTTGCATTAAAGGGCCCCATTATCCGCTTCCATTCTTTGTCCATGCCGGTCGTGGAAGTATCAGAGCCTTTGGTGAAGGTTGATGACAATGAAGACGAGGAAGTAAATGTAGATTCAACGAAGAGGTGCTGCAGAAATTTTTTGATTTTCACAGATGCAAAGAATTTTCCCTCTGCATACTTTCCCTCTAAAAAACTCAAAGTTCCACACAGAACTTACTGTCCAGTCACAGGGTCACCAGCTCGATATCAAGACCCTGTCACTGGTTTACCATTTGCAAATGCCCAGGCTTTTAGATGCATAAGAGAGAGGTATGCAATGCAAGCAGAGGAAATGAAAGGAAAGACTTCTGAACTTGAACAAAGAAGAGCCAGGAAGTTGTAGGATAAGTAACTGCCTGCTTCAAACTGTACAGAATGTGAAACTGAGAACCAAAAAAGGGAACAGTAATACCAGGTCATAAACCCCCTTAAACTTTTTATTTTGCAACAATAATGAATCAGTGAATTATTTTATCACTTAATTCATATATCATTGCAAATATGGGATTATGATCTAATAGTATTTTCCATCCTGGTTTTTTTTTCTCAGCAGTAATCTTGCATAATCTTACTCCAAATTTACATCAATGCAAGCTTAATTTTCTTTCCTTTGGTATCACTGTATTGTAGAGAGTTTTTTTCGCATACAAAGGTGCAAGATTGTTCAATGTTATGATATGCAAGGAAGCGCTATTCTTTAGAACTGATCATGAGTCATGCATGTGAGAGTGCATATTTGAGTTCTGACTGAAGCAACAGTTCACAAATTCAAGTTTTTTATAATAATCATATGATATATAATCACAATGTACAAATGTATCTATTATTATTGCCTCTACTGGTTGGAATTCAATATGGTTGTCATTATTTCTTCAAGAGAAAATAGACATCACCAGTCACATGAAGAGTAAACCACATTCATTTATTGCTATATTATGTAGTATAGACAGTCTTAAAATGTTTACCAGCCAAGTATTGTTTTTCACTGTTGGTGTTTTTGTTGAGAGTGTAAACCACTGTTATATTTTTGTTAAAAGAATTCTTGTGTAAGTAAAAGTAATGTCTTGTAAAAATTGGTATAACTGTCTAGTAAAAATGATTTATTTACTTAAGACACTGTTTATTGTTTTGACTTTGGGAATTAAGAAGCCAATCATAATTTCTAAAAGTAGTGGGAATATTCCAACATCCAGTGTAAATTTTGAAAGATGAGTAGTGTTGGCATGTTTTATTGGAGTAGAATACAGATTCATATATCATTCTGATAGTGACGTTTCACGTGCATTCTGTCTGTCTCCTTAAGGCAATGAATTGAGTTTTCCTTGAAAATTTTAAATAAACTGAACTGAAAGAACCAGTACTTGGAGAATGCAGGTGCAGGAACTCTTACATGAAGTCATTTAGAGTATCATTCGACCACATGGTTTGACAAAGACTGGCGCCTCAGCATCGAAACATGGTCTAAAACCTTCAGGGACTTCAAATCGCAAGACAAACGATGAAACGTAAATGTAAGAGTATAAAAATTCATGTCAAGTTCCTCTTCCAGGAACTTAATCACCTTATATAAGATTTCTACCAATGAAAATGGTTACACTGTGACGCCAAAAATGGCCTTGACTTTCTCGTCGAAATTTTTTCGATCAATATTTTATCTGGAATTTACGCTAGATCTTAGGTTAATTGGCGAGTGTAAGAGGATTAAGAGATAAAGAGTAGGGAAGGGAAGTTATTATCCTGTACTAGCCTCATAGTTAAAAGAAACGAACTACAGACGGCGAGTTCACGTTAAGAAAAAGAAAAGAGAGCTGTGACTTAGAAAACCATAGCCACATATTGGTCCTCGCCGTATCAAAGTTGTGCTTGTCTCCTCTTTTTGAGAGACTGGATCAGTCTGGAAAGCTAGCTGCAATCTGATCTGTGAGCTGGATAAGTATTTTGGCCTGATTGGATTGATTAGATTAATATCTAGCACTATCAGGACACACCCTAATTCCAAATTCAGCCTTCTTTGCATGATAACTAAACTGCGACAAAGCAATGTCGAGTGTAGACAAGAGAACATATTGATTTGAAACACATTTGAAAAATTTGGGACGCTGACAAGGAGTCAAACCTCAGACCTTTAGATTCTACGCTCCGATGCTTTACTACTGGGGTACAGAGAACTTTATGCTACTCTATTCTTTCAACTCCCAAATTAAGATTGTGCTTTTGTCTCGTATAACGTCGTTAGGCTTAACATGGGGGTTCTTAACAGATTCTTAACAGCACTTGCGTTCATCGAGGCGCTAACTGTTGTGAGAATAAAAATAATTAAAACGTAGCGCACACAAAACAACAACATGAAAGATATCAGCAATGAAAGTACACACAAGAAATAACAAAAGTGGAATATTTTATTAAAAATTACAAATCTCGATGAAATAACGCATTCTTGATATAAAAACTCAAATTCCTTACTTTTTTAGTCGCTTTTTTTTTCTGATGTTTTACAACGTGTAAGTTTTTTGACTTAGTTGTCAATTGTTCCCCCCCCCCCTCTCTCTCTCTGAGCCAATTTAATATTCTCTTTCATGGGCCGCTCAAAACCATCGCCTTTTGGGTGATGCCGTCAACATTGCAGAGCGAGAGTCTCCAATTCTCCCCACCCAACTCCCTAACCCGTCTAGCTATGAACCAAATTTCCATTTTTTCTCACCCAAAGAAAGGAAACTGTACGAGGCTCTTACTTTCTTGAGAAAATATATCACTTTAAAGTCTTCTTTTGCGGTCGAAGGTTTGTTTTCTTCGGCTTTCCTCTCTTTCTTAGTTGCAATGTCTCTTAGAAAACAGTGGTCTTAAAAAGACGATTGTCTTAAAAGATTTTTCCCATGATCCCGAGCTCTTGATAGGCTTATAATTTAATAAGATTTGGTTTTATTACCTTGTCAGTACTCTCCCACTGACGCAGCACCGCAGTTTCTTTAGAAACGTACCTCCTTTACAATTTAGGATATTCGCAATAATCTTGCTTTAAAAGCGATAAAAAAATCTTCATGATGTAAAAAGCGTTATAACCCGCGTTTTGAAGTTTGCGAATTTCGCACGGAATTTCCAGCTTCATGAGAATGTCTTCTATGCTGTTGTTTTTCCGAGAGTCAGGAAAAAGAGCAGAATGAACGGTGAGCGTATCGATAATTTCCTTGTGCTCTTCTCGAAGGCCTTGAGATTTGAGGAAACTACGAATATCTTCTGAAGACGTTGAATGGGTGATCAAAAAATCAACGTGAGAAACGTTTTCTTGAAGCTTGGTTATTATATCAGTTAGTCTTGCAACCTCTGCACTTCGAAACAAAGAGACGTCGTAGCTCTCTAACTGCGTGTTATTGTTTAACAAAGGTACATTTTCCTTTACTAAGAATAGATGATAGTTTTCGCCATCCTGTTCACTTTCCAGCGAAAACACTACGTATCCAATTTGCAAGATTTTTGTGGGGTCTTGCTCAAAAAATTTTACGTTGAAAGCTAAAAATAAGGGTGATTTTTGCTCAATGACTTCATTTATCCTTTGAAGCGTATGTACTCCATTGATGTGCCTTTGACGAGCAATGGAACGATTCTTCTGTCGCAACTGGTCATGGAAGATGACGAAATCTTTCAATGTTTTAAAGACCCGCATAATTTGCGGTGTTTTCCGGGACAATTTAACTGGTTCCACGTCGGGCAAATTCTTTGTCATTTCTGCTGCCTTGTCTATCTTTTCTTTAAAGAATGTATACCCTTTGTAGTCCAGGAAAATTCCTGCGTTGTGATCGAGATCATAGGCTACCACAAAAATCATTTCTTTTAAATGGCGATCAAAAGAATGGCTGAAATAATACTTAATTCGTTCGTAGCAGTGTTTCCCTTCTTCGCGACTGGCTCGTGTCCAGGTCTCTCTCAACGTCTCAAAACTGTACATGTATTCTGGGCAGTTTTGGCACACCATAGAACATGGTAATGTACATCTGTCTTCCAGTCGATACTTAAATTCACTCATTTTTTCATGCAAACTAAGTATACTTTACTTCCATCAGAAACGATCAATTTGTCATCTGCATTAAACCTGCAACATAAAATCATTTCATTATTCAATTTCACTTTCCGTATAGTAATCGAAAACTAACTATCTTAGAGTTGCTAATTTTGTTCTTCAATGAATTTCGTAAAATTAATTTCGTTTATCTTGAAGATGATGTGACATATTTCGCAAGACTTAATCTTAACGATTTTGCAAGAAAATTGGTTAATATTATCTAAATTTCGAAGATCCACATCTTCATTGGGAGTGCAACATATAACTTTTTCGTGAAAAAAAATCCAAAATCACAGAAGTTCTATACAGGACGAAAACAGTGATTGCATGTTGGTTTTTTTACAGCCCCAGTACTACGATGTGACGCAAGAGCACGTCCTTTACAGTCAGAATACACATATCCCGTTCTTGAAACTTTTACAAGGATAGTTCTCTGGCATTGGTAAGGCAACGAAATTAATTAACAGCATGATCGATTTTGACAAATTGAGTGTAACATTTTGATAACTTTACGTCTAAGGTCCGAAAAAATCTTCTTATTTTGTGGTAATGCTTTTCGACGGACTTGGAGATTGGAAACATTGTGCAATTGTAGTCCCGTCAAAACTAAGTTAAAATATCGTACCAGCTAATCACCAGCATCATTATGAGCAGCAGATATCTGAGTCTTCAAACATTATTTAAAAAATTGGAAATATCATAACTGCTTGCAGTGAAGATTCCTTACTCTACTTACATGGCATATTAGTGAATTTCATATTAGAGGTTCTACAATGCCTGGTTTTAGTTCAGACGAAAGTAGAAGACAGCCACAGCCCAGACCAACCAGACCAGCGTACTGTATCTGGAGCCCGGCGCTGTTTGAGCGCCGGTTAAACAGACTGCGTTTAGCTTAATATTGGACCAGGCTTGGCTTGCCAGCTATAAGATTTATCGCACACTTGCGGAACGACGTCATTTTTCAAGTTTCGATTATTTAGTCTTAAGGGTTTTTATCCATTGAAAAGATCCCAGCTGAGAATGTCTGTATGTACGCAGACCTCTTCACATTCTCGGATTAATTAGCCCTTCACCATAAGTTCAAGTCGAACGAAAATATAAAAGAATAAAACAAATGAAAAATTATGCTGTAAAAACGATTTTTACGTAGCAAGCTTTTGGGAATCGGCCGACAATCTGAGGTTTTTTTCACTTTCACTTTCACAAAGGGATACTAATTCTGAGCATGCTTTGAGATGTTTTAAAATCACCTTAAATATCTTAGCAGCTGGAAATGAAAAGAGAATCGAAAATTAAAACAGCAATAGTGAATCCTATAAGGAGCAAATGGTGAAAAAAAAAAACGGATAAAATGTCACGAAGTTGAAAAGTTTTAGGTTTCAAGAACCGACTTGGACGAAGTCCTGTTTATTCGCCCTTAATTCACTTGTTTGATCTTCAGCTTGCGCGTCACAAAACAACCTACGTACAAGAGTCTCTAAGGGAGAACCTCAGAGGTTGGCAGCTCTGAAGTTTATCACCAAACTAGAACCAATAAACCAAATAAACAAGTTATAGGATGCTGTTTGGAGTGATTGAACTCCAATGAGATCGTATCCAAAGTGTATAGCCAGTTGCACTGTTGTCATTAATAAAATTGCAATCTGTGATTAGCTGTCAGTGGCAAATAATGAATCAAAATCTGTATGGAATATTTTCCGCGCATGCAAAACTGCATGCATTGTCTATATACAGCGCTTACAGCGAATAACAAGCGTAGCATTTTCTTACCGGTTCGATTACCTCTTTCCAAGACTCTCGATTCTTCCTAAGTAGGTGTTTATTTATGAGACAGGATTGTGGTGAGCACAAATCAAAACAGATGAACGCTGCCTTTCGATCTAAGAGTGTGTTTTCCCTTCCTTGAATTATTCCGGCAATTTATCATGATTTTAGTCATGCATATTGTAGTTTACTTTTTTCCAAAAAACATACTTA